AGCGGGGAGGAGGAGGTGGGCGGTGACGGGTGTGATCATGTGGCTGATGCGAAATGGCCCACAATATCGGGGGCGAAGTTTTGGAGTGATGGGCAGGCGAAGGTTCTGAGTGTCGAGTAAAACGAGGTCGTCGGGCTGATAAGTAACGGGTCTGCGATGTCGATCGGCGTTGCGTTTAGCGATGATGTTTGATTTTTTTATTGCTTCTGCTGCCCTGGTCCGTGCTGCTTGCAGGATCTCGGCGAACTGTTGTGCCCGTGGGACGGGGTTGTCGGGATTCGGTGTCATGGGTACTGTTGGGTCCTGTCCGTAATTTAGATAAAACGGCGACTGTTGCGTCGTGGCTGATGGTGCGTTATTGTATGCGAACTCAATGAGTGGCAGTTGCTGTTCCCACGTATTCGGGTCGTCGCACGTGGCTCGAATCAGCTGCTCCATGGTCTGATTTGTCCGTTCCGTCTGTCCGTCGGTTTCGGGGTGATAGGATGAACTGAACTGTAAGCGCGTGCCGAACTGCTGCCACAGGTTCCGCCAGAAGTTGCTGGTGAATTTCGTGTCCCTGTCGCTGATGATCGACGCGGGTATCCCGTGCAGGCGTACGACGGTGGAGATGAATAGTCGGGCGGTTTCCTCGGCTGTGATGGATTTCCTGCATGCTGCGAAATGAGCCATTTTCGTTAGTCGATCGACGACGACCAGGATCGCGTCATTCCCACTCGCCCCAGCTGGTAACCCCGTGACGAAGTCCATCGTCACCTGCTGCCAAGCACGCTCTGGAGGCGGGATGGGTTGTAATTGCCCTGCTGGTCGCTTCCTGCTTGTCTTCATGAGCTGGCAAGTGGGACACGATGCCACGTGTCGTTGTACGTCAGTCAACATTTCTGGCCAGTAGTAGTACCGCTGCAGCTGCTGCCGTGTTTTTTCTACCCCGAAATGTCCCGAGGTAACTCCGTCGTGTGCTTCCTGTAACAGTAGTTCCCGAAGTAACGTGTATCCCGGTACCCAGATGCGGTCGGTTCCAGTTTTTACGTAATAGACTCCTTTTGCCGCTGCGAATTGCTGTGAGTTGCCTCCTGTAAAGAACGGGTCTGTTTGATATCCGTGGGTAAATAGGCCGGTAAGCAGTGGGCTGGTCTGGACGAGTAGTATCGCGTGGATCTGGGCAGTGGGGCGGGTCAGTGCGTCGGCGATATTCGATGCTCCTTTTTTGTATGTGACCGTATAGTGAAAATTCGACTCGAGGAAATCGAGCCATCGAATTTGTCGTGGGTTGAGGTGGGGCTGTGCGCGGAGGTACTGTAGAGATCGGTGGTCTGTCCGTACTGTCACGTCTGCGCCAGTCAAGTAGCAGCGCCAAACTTTGAATGCATGCACGATCGCGAGCATTTCGCGGTCGTGTATCGGATAATTTCGCTCAGGCGGATGTAGTTTTCGTGATTCGTAGGCGATGGGTTGGAGGCCGTTGCCGAAGTCCTGTAACAGTACAGCTCCGATGGCGATGTCACTTGCGTCGGTAACCACTTCAAAAGGGCGGTGGGGATCAGCGATGCGTAGGACGGGTGGTGAGCAGAGAACGTTTTTTAGGGCAGAGAAGGCAGCATGCTCTTTCTCCCCCCACGTAAAAGCGACCCCCTTACGCAGTAAATCAGTGAGTGGGGCTGTTAAACGGGCCATGTCGGGCACGAACCGTCGAACGTAATTAACAAAACCTAAAAAACTCTGCAGCTCCGTGATGTTCGTCGGGGGGCGCCACGCTTTTACTGTATCCAGCTTCTTTGGGTCAATCTCAACCCCAGCCTCCGAATCGACGTGACCCAAAAACTCTAATCTGTCCCTAAAAAACTTGCACTTGGAGCCCTTGGTGAGTAGTCGATGTTCCTCTAAAACCTTAAAAACTGCTTCAAGATCCACTAAGTGCTGCTGCTTATCCCGGCTGTAAACTAAAATATCGTCCAGGTAAACTATCACGCATTTATCTAAAAGTGGTCTAAACGCCTCGTTCATGGTCATCTGAAAAGTTGCAGGCGCGTTCGTCAGCCCGAAAGGCATCACTGTATACCCGAACGACCCGTACCTAGTCCTAAATGTTGTTTTAGCGCAGTCTGAAGGTTCGACCCGAATCTGATGGTAACCTCCCCGTAAATCTATTTTCGAAAAGACGCGCGCTGTTCGCAGTTGGTCGATCAGTTCGTCAGCGCGGGGGATGGGGTATCGCGACTTGATTGTTACCCTGTTAAGCGCTCGGTAGTCGATGCACATGCGAAAACCTCCATCTTTTTTCGGTGTGAACAGTATCGGCGCGGCGAACGGTGACGAGCTCGGTCGAATAAACTGCTTCTCTAACAGGTAATCTAACTGCTTCCTTAACTCGTCAAGCTCGGGCTGTGTCAGTCGAAATTGCCGCTGTACAGTTGGCTGTGCCCCCGGTTCTAACTCAATCCTATGGTCGTGCGCCCGCTGAGGTGGCAGTCCCTGTGGTAGATCATCCGGAAATATCCCCGGGAACCGTTTCAGTAGTGCCTGTAATTCGGTCGGTACGGCTGCGAGCAGTTTTCCTAAATCACTCTGCTGCTCGTCTTTTTCTACGATTGCGATATCCGCTGCGTACACGTCAGCTCCAGCGGCGACAGCTCGTTTCATCGTGATGGCGTTGACCTGGACTGTCGAAGATTCGGGTGGCCGCCAGCGAGGTAGAACAACCCAGTTACCATTACTTCGCACTGTGCAGCTCCCCGTCGTCCAGTCAATCCGTGGGTTGTACCGTCGCAGCCAATCACGTCCCAGTAAAATATCGTGCCCATCCAGCGTCGTTGCGAGCATTTCCTGTGTAAAACCGAAGTTCCCCCCGCAGCGGACTTTTACTCGCTCCACTTTTTCTCGTATGGCCAATGGCGTGCCGTCGACTAAACGTGCATCTATCTCGGGTAAACATCGGTTAAGTGTTAACTGTAATTTCCGTGCGGTTGGAGTATTAACTAAGCTGTGACTTGCTCCTCCGTCAATAAAGATTTTCACTGCTGCTCCCTGTATTTTCCCGTAGATCAGTACCGGGCAATCCGTCGCTGTACCCTCCTTATTCATCCGAGCCCGATCGATGGCGTGAATCGGTACTGTGACTCGGTGAGGGTCGGTGTGGTTGGGCGAGCAGGCAGTCTCGTCAGTAGTTGGCCCAACTTCTACTGACTGCTGGCGTTTCCCTGCCTCTGAGACTCCCTCCCCTGCTCTGCTCCTCGACGCCTCAGCTCTTCTGGACATTCGCTCTTGCGATGGCCCGGCCGGTTGCAAGCAAAGCAGCGCCCTCTAAATGGCGTGGCAGCTGCATTCGTTGCGACGGCGTGTACAGTGGCGTGCTCGATCGGTCCCCGAGGACGATGTCCGAAATAGGACCCCGGTCTCGGTCGGCGTAGGATATCGATTTTCTCGGCGAGCGCGAGGATTTCGTTGAAATTCGATAGCCCGCGTAGCATTATCTCGTGCGATATGTCCGGCTTCAGCCCTCCGACGTAACGGTCCACCCGTTCCGCCTCGTGCATGTAGCCGACCTGTTCGCAAAGTGCGAGAAAACCGCTGGTGTAGTCTTGAACCGACCCGAGCTGGCGCCAAGTGCGTAGTTTCTGACGCGCCGAAATCGAAGCCGCGATCGGCTCGAAGCGCGCCCGAAGCCCTGCGCACCACGCATCCCACGTGCTGTATTGGGCGGTTTCGCAGAACGAAGTCCAGGTAACAGCTGGACCCGAGGGCCCTTCCTCGCGCGACGGTGGCTCGTAGGCGCGTGGCGACGTCACGATGACTCGCCACCAGTCCATGGCGGGGCCCCTGAGTAGTGAAACCGCATATCGGATCTTGGCGGCGTCCGACTCGACGTAGTTGGCGTCGAAAAACACATTCATCGTGAAGACCCACGATTGAACTGTCGGGCCGCCGCGTTGGCTTGGGTCGAAGCAGGGTGGTCGTTGCGGTTTGAGTGGCATTGGGGCCATCATGGCGTTCTCGCCACTTGTCGCCGCAAACTCCACGTGCCGACGGGCTTCTCGGGGCTCCCGTGGGCTTGATGCGCTCCTGTTTCCCCCCATGCCGGGCATCGGTTGGGCTGCGCCGTCACTGGCTGCGCCTGAGCGCTGTCCCGTGCTGTTGTGTTGCGTTGGTGTGCCGGATGAGATGACAATCGGCTCCTCCGAATGTGCAGAAACATTGGTTGGTGCGTGGGATGTCGTCGGTGCATTCACCGTTGACTGTTGACGGGCGGAGTCACGCTCCGCCGTGAGCGTCGCGATTTCGAGCGCCGACTCCTCCAACTGTCGCACGAGACGATCGAGTTGATCCTGCGTCAGCGTGGCGAGGTTGAAATCGGCCATGGCGGGGGTGTCGGGCAAGCTCAGCGAGAGCCTCGGTCGTGGCCGTGCGTGCTTTCGAGAGAGCACTACGAGCGGCGGTGCTGTGACGCTGAGAGACGTCTACCCCCCCCCAAAAAATTGAGATAGTGGGAAGCGAAGGTGTGGATGCGGTCCGAGGTGAGATCGTAGGCTCTGAATACCAAGTGTTACGAGTGCAATTGAGTGAACGAACGAGAATTGCACTATCGAAGCAAGAGTACAATCAGCGAAGGTATGAGCGAAGGATTATATAGCGAAACAATAGTGGTAACGGTAATGGACTGTGGTTGTCGCGTGTCGAGCCTGGGACTGAGGTTGGGAAAATGTCGAAGCGTAGGCCCGGAGCGCGGGTTACCAGCCGAGCCGTGAGGTCGGGATGCGATGTGCGAAAAAAGGCGCGATGATGAATGATGCGATGGTCGCGAGTGGTAACGGTGCTGACTGAGGTGCTACAGTGATGTACGCGCTGGGCAGGGACGCGAAGTAAGGAAAAGGGAATTTCCTTACACTTCTACACATAGTACCACATCCACCAGATATTTTTTTTCCTAACTTCATAATTCGAGGCATTGTTGCACTTTCACCAATAAAATATTATGCTTTCATTCACAACATTTCTGTACGCTGCTAATTGCAAACACGAACAATACCATCCTCGCCTCCGGCAAGGAAGAGGCGAGAGTAGGGAAGCACATCCAATGAAAATATGGGGGTTGACCTGGACGATTGAATGTTGTCGATCACTTGTTGTGCATGGAATTGTAGATTGACATCCTGGTGGAGAAATCCAACAAAGAGGAGCGGCGGGATAAATGTCAGGAGAATGGATCCAAATTACCTCAATGGAAGTAAAACGAAAGAATGATACGGCGACACAGGCATTGTCACAAGCAGGAAACCGCGGGTAACAATTAAGACCTCAAAGCTTACCGAATGGGGAGGAGGCCAGCGAACTACAAGCTCATGGCTCGAGAACTTGACACGTGTGCGAGCATTTGCAATTTGGGACAATCCCGAGACATTCGTCACGCCAATATGACTCCCCGCTGCTGTCATCACAACCCGGCCCAGGGTCATGCTGGGAGGCATTAGATCCGCTCCCACGCCGCTCAGCCCTCCGCCTGCTCCAGATGTACCTCCCCCAGATGAGGGCGTGAGCATGGTGGGTGTGAGCGCAACCATTGCTGTGATGCCTTGTGTGTGAGCCACCACTCTCTCCACTGCTGCCACGTCAGCAGCTCTGGATTGGCCGACGAGGGTAAGGGAGGGGGTGGGGCGAAGGGAAGGGGGTTGGGCGGATGAGTAAGGCATATATAGGGTATATGATTGCCCTGTAGGTAAGTGCACACCTTTGAAAATATTACAGCGTCATGGTCGAGTCAGGACAAGGATGGAAGTTGATGACAAGGTGAGTGAGTACCACAGGGCTACGGTCGAGTTTGTTGACGAGGACAGCAGCTTATCAGAATGGATGTCGAGGAGGCTAATATTGGGTATATGAACGCCTTGTGAAAGAGTGCATACCTTCTGATATCCCACAGGGCTATGGTCGAGTCTGTGGACGAGGACAGAAGCTGATACTCGCCACATGGCACGAGCTGGTTGGTTGAGAAGTGAGTGAGACAAGCGACAGGAAGTAAAAAAGCAGAGGCAAAATGCATGAGAAAAGGACGATTGTTACTGGGAAGTTCCAGACATTTCTGACCACCAAAAACAAGCAGGCACACTACAAGTTCTAGGCGCCTAGAAACCAGATCTAAAGCCGTAGCACTCACCCCTGTAACCCTCCCCGAGTGTGCCTTCACCCGTGCCACCACCATCCCCGTCGTCCAATCAAGGAACGCTAGGTGTCCCGAGTGGAAACCCACAGAAACACACTTGGTGGAAACAGGGGAGCGAGTGTGGGCAGAGGAGGAAGAGGAGGAAGAGGAGGAGGGCGAGGAGGAGGAGGAGGAGGAGCGGCGGGAGGAGGAGGTGGTCGTGGCAGCAGAGGCGAGGGCAGTGACTGGTGTGCAGAATGGCTCTGATAGACCGCACTGCCAGAGGGAGAGCAGACGCCCCGCACACATGTCCACAAGGCTGGGGGTTGGGAAGAAGGTAGGCTCAAAAGTGAATGAGAAGGGGAGTGGGGAACAGGGAGGTGCAGAATGGCTCGGATAGACCACACTGCCAGAGGGAGAGGAGCCGACCCGCACACATGTCCACGAGGCTGGCAAGGATAGATGTGTAGGGGGGAGGAATAGGGGGCAGGGGAGGTGGTGGTGGCAGCAGAGGCGAGGGCAGTGACTGGCGTGCAGAATGGCTCTGATAGACCGCACTGCCAGAGGGAGAGCAGACGCCCCGCACACATGTCTACAAGGCAGGGAAGGGGGGAATGAGGAGAAGGATGAGGGGAGGGATGGGGGCAGAGAGGGCAGGGAGAGGAGGGGAAGACGAGGGGAGAAGAGAAATATGGGTTGAGACCGCAGAGGTGAGGGAGGAGGGGAGCAGAAGCGGGGTTGGTGGTGGGGGAGGAGGTGGTGGTGGCAGCAGAGGCGAGGGCAGTGACTGGTGTGCAGAATGGCTCGGATAGGCCGCACTGCCAGAGGGAGAGCAAGCGACCCGCACACATGTCCACTAGGCTGGAAGGGGGTGGGAATGGGGAGAGGGGGAGCGGTAATGGGGTTGATGGTGGTGGTGGCAGCAGAGGCGAGGGCAGTGACTGGCGTGCAGAACGGCTCTGATGGGCTGCACTGCCAGAGGCGACCCAACCACCGATCCCCTACAGGATCGGTGTTGCAATTGTGACGTGTCCTTAAAGGACGAGCTGGATAAGTTGCACACTTGCAGCACACACATATCGGATAAGTTGCACACGTGCAGCACACACATATCAGATAAGTTGCACACGTGCAGCACACACATATCAGATAAGTTGCAGCAAAGAGCACAGCAAACCCACCGGATGCAGCCTGTAGACGTGCCGGCCACGAGCCTGTTCCCCCCTGCTGGCCCCAGGAACAGCAGCGACGTGTATCGATACACGGTCATGGGACTGCTAACGCTGCGCCCCCTCCCATGCCTCGGCGTCCCAACCGAGCCTCCCGCCGAGCCGTCTCCTGAGCCTAGGCCGGCGAGGTCCGGGAGGGCGGACGAGGAGAGGGAGTGTGGGGACGGGTGGGATCTTGGAGTGGTGGAGAGAGAGGAGAGGGAGGAGAAGGGATGGTAGGAGAAGAGAGAGGAGGACATGCGAGGGGAGGCTGGGATCCCACTTGCTACTCCGGCTGTAGCGGCGGCGAAAGAGGAGAAGATTGAGGATGTAGCAGCGGGATCCAGAGAAGAGGTCTGGTCCGGAAGCTGGCCGATAGGCATGGCGAGGCGAGGGGAAGAGGAGAAGTACGCAAGGGGGTTTCCGGCCGCTCCTGCTGCAGCGGCAGCGGCGGCGGCAGCAGCAGAGAGAGTGGGGGTGGAGGAGGAGTGGTGTGAGTACAGCTGCTGCTGCTCCCGCTGCTGCTGCTGCTGCTGGAGGTGAGCTGCTAGAGAGGAAGGCGGCTCTTCAAAGAGAGATAAGAGCTCGCCAGAGGAAGAGTCCCATACGTGGATTACTTCGTCGCATGTTGCTACTAACGAGGTGCCTTGTAACGCACACACTGCAAGAGGAACCTCGGAATGGCCTGAGTATTCTAAAGTACAGTCCCCTGACCCCACATCCCACACCCGAACCCTCTCCCCTCCTCCTCCCCCTCCTTCTCCACCTCCCCCGCCTCCTGCCCCTCCCCGGCTTCTCCCACCCCGTCCTCCTCCCCCTCCTGCTCTTCCCTCTCTCCCCCCTCCCCCTCCTCCACTCCCCTCTGACAATAACCCTCCCCTCCCTATAGTCACAAATGCCTCTTCATTCTCCAGAACTGCTATCCCCGTAATAGGCCCGTCGTGTGCCGCCCAGGATCTGAGTACAGACAAATTCAGATGCCACCCGGGCTGGGACTCCTCCCTGTCGCGAGCCATCCACGAGCTGCCACCTCCCCCAGAAACAGACGAAACAGCGCTCATACTGGCAAGGCTGACTGAACTTCCCCCTGCCCCTCCCCCTCCTCCCCCCAGCCTCCTCCCCACGTCCCACCCCTCCTCATTCGGAGGGGCATCCAAACGTTTTTCGGGCAGCCAGAACCACGGCTCGGGTGGTTCGGGCAGGGAGGAATCTTCCTCTGGGCTGCCCGGGTGAGTCTCGGGCAAAGAGTCGGCTGACGTGGAGAGCCAGGATTGGCTGCTGGTTGCAGCGGCGGTGGTGGCGAGACCACCAGCAGCAGAGGCGCCGGCAGGAGGAAGCATCCTGGAATCTTCCGCTGATGAGCTGGCGCTGACTGTGCGGGAGTGAGAGGGTGACTTGTTAAGTGTTGGCATGGGAAGGGACCAACCAAATCCGTCTAATAGCAGAGAAGAGGGGGTGAGAGCCGCTGCTACCATTCCAAGACGCTTAGATAAGTTCCCTGTTTTAGAGGCGAGTTTGGGGGATTCAGAAGAAGCAGCTGGAGCTGCTGTAGAAGCAGCAGCTTCAGCATCTATAGCAGTAGCATTGGTTGCGTCAGCAGCGGCTGTAGCGGCTGTTGCAGTTGTGGGGTATGAGGGAGGTTTCTTAGCGGATTCTGGATCAGTGGGAGGGGGAGGAGGAGGAGAATCGACAGGAGAGGTGACAGTGTGAATGGCGAATCGCTTTGCCGCTGCTGCTGCGGCTGCGGCTGCGGCTGCTGCAACAGCTTCTGAATCGGTGGGAGCGGCAGGAGGAGGAGAAGTGACTGGAGAGGTCACCGTGTGGATTGCAAATTGCTTCGCTGCTGCTGCTGCAGCCGCAGTTGCCGCTGCTGCCGCTGCTGCTGCTGTTGGTGATACCTCTGCTGCAGGTGAAGAAGCAGAAGAAGGCTCAGTGGCGGCAATTCCAGAGTCTGTTTCAGAATTATTCGAGTCAAGGCAGAGTCCTGACTCGTTGCCCTGATGGGGCAAGAGATGTGGGGGGAGGGGCAAGGGATTGGGGAGAGATTTCTGAGTTGACTCAACAAGAAGGCTCAGTGGTGTGGCAACCCCAGCGTTTGGCTTAGAATGAGAGGCGTCAAGGGAATGACCTTGACGGTAAACATACCTCGACCATTATCGTACACACCCGACAGCAGCTCTCTCCTCCCCTCATCCCCTCCCACATCTAACAAGTGCCTCCTCCTCCCCCCTGCCCCCTGCTGCCCCTTCTCTTCACGTTGTCTACAAAAATAATCCCTGTACATAGTACATACATTTTTGAGTCGACTCAAAAGCCACCTCAAAACGATCTCTTTACATAGTACATACACCTCGAGGCGCCTCAATAGTACATACATACCTTGACTCGAAAAGACCAAGCAAGCCACTAGTCAAACCGCGTCCATAGCAAAGAGGTTGTACACGTCTGTAAGGATAACCGCCAGAAGCTCCCTCCCCACCTCGTCCCTTCCCACATCCAACAACCACCTCCTCCTGCTTTTCATTTCGGCAAGAAAGCAACAATCCCCATACATGCATAGTACATAGCTCGCCCATGCAGAACAGATCATACACGTCCGTGAGAATACCCCCCAGCAGCTTCCTCTGCACTGCAGTCTCACATGGACGTATGGGCATGGGTTCAACATACACACTCCCACATACAAGTATGGGCATGGGTTCAACATACACACTCCCACATACAAGTATGGGCATGGGTTCAACATACACACTCCCACATACCTCGTTCATGCAGAACAGATCATACACATCCGTGAGAATACCCGCCAAAAGCTCCCTCCTCTGCTCGTCCCCTCCCACATCTAACAACCGCCCTCTCTTCCCCGCTGCCCCCTGCTGCCCCTGCTGCCCCCTGCTATTCAAGCTGCCTAGAACACCAAACCCATGCACCGTACGTACCTCGTCCATAGCAAAGAGGTCGTACATGTCTGTAAGAACACCCGCCAGGAGCTCCCTCTGCACTGCAGTCTCACACATAAGTATGGGTATGCGCTCCACCAACACACAAGCATACCTCGTCCATAGCAAAGAGGTCGTACACGTCTGTAAGGATACCCGCCAGAAGCTCCCGCCTCTGCTCGTCCCCTCCCACGTCTAACAACCGCCTCCTCCTCCCCGCTGCCCCCTGCTGCCCCTGCTGCTGCTGCCGCTGCTCCTCACTCATCTTCAAGTGCGCTAGTGCTGCTTGTAGCCTGGGCACCAGGTGCCGTTTCGATGCTCTCTCTCCCAGTTTGGAAGCTGGAACAGGGAGCATGGGAAGGTCGAGAAGGGAAATGAGGTGACTTATGAGTCGACTCAAATGTCACCTCGTTTCGATGCTCTCTCTCCCAGCTTGGAAGCTGGAACAAGGGGCATGGGAAGGTCGAGAAGGGAAATGAGGTGACTTATGAGTCGACTCAAATGTCACCTCGTTTCGATGCTCTCTCTCCCAGTTTGGAAGCTGGAACAGGGGGCATGGGAAGGTCGAGAAGGGAAATGAGGTGACTTATGAGTCGACTCAAATGTCACCTCGTTTCGATGCTCTCTCTCCCAGCTTGGAAGCTGGAACAGGGGGCATGGGAAGGGCGAGAAGGAAAATGACTTCCTTCCTGCCTATGTGCTCTCTCTACATGCGCTCCTCACTCATCTTCAAGTGCGCTAGTGCTGCTTGTAGCCTGGGCACCAAGTGCCGTTTTGTAGCCCTCTCTCCCAACTTGGAAGCTGTGAAGGGAAGGGAGGAAGGGAAATGCAAGGGAGGAAAGCAGCGGTTCAGACGAAATGGCATGTGCTCCTCCTCTTGCTCCCATTCCCCCGCCCGCCTGCCGCTGCTCCTCACTCATCTTCAGTGCGCTAGCGCTGCTTGTAGCCTGGGCACTCAGTGTCGTTTTGAGGCCTGTTCTCCCAGCTTGGAAGCTGGAAAGAGAGGGGAGGAAGAAAAGAAGGGAAAGGACATGTTGAGATGGGAGGGAGGAAAGGAAAAAGCTGCGCTAGTGCAGCTCGTAGCCTGGGCACCAGGTGACGCTTTGTAGCTCTCTCTCCCAACTTGGAAGCTGGAAAGAGAGGGAAAGGGAAGGGCACGACACCAGCACAACAAGTAATAGCTTGTGTGTGTTGAAAAATTCATTCTCCTATGCTGCCTCTCCAAAGCAAGACGTACCGATATGAATGAAGAGATTGTGAATGTGGGAGACGTGGTGCAGAGTACCCCTGGTGACGTGAGCTTTATAGTAACACCGAGGTAGCCTTTGAGTGGACACACAAAGCAACACATACCGATATCAATCAAGAGGTCTTGAATGTGGGAGGCGTGTTGTATGATCCGTGCTGCTGCAGTGGTGCATGCAGCAGTGGCCCCACTGAGAGAGAGCACCTCACGAGTGGACACACAAAGCAAGACATACCGATATCAATCAAGAGGTCTTGAATGTGGGAGGCGTGTTGTAAGGGTCCCCTGGTGATGTGAGCGATGAGAGGGGCAATTGTCTGGCTGATAGTGATAGGAAGCGGGAGCAGAGCCACCGATTCAATCAGAGCCGTCGATGCCGCATGGCACGGACTGGCGTGAAGCGCAGGGGACGATCCTGTCCGTACGATCGCGGATCCAGACCGAGGCAGTCCGAGCTTGGACCGAGCCGCGGACACAGGTCCGGACCGAGGCTGTGCGGCGGATTGGGATCGGTCTAGGCGAGGAATGGGAGGAGTGGAGGAAGAGGAAGAGGAGGAGGCGGAGGAAGCAGAAGGGGTGGTGGTGGGGAGGGAGAAGAGAGACGAACGGAGCAAAGAAGGATGCAGCCGTTCTATATACTCCGGTAACCCTACAGCCATTGCAAGCTTATCCCACACCCCTTCACCGAACACAATCTCATTCAACCCCTTGGGTTCATTAGCTTCCACTGCTCGCACTGCCAGTGGCACCAGCAGAGCCACTATCGCCCTCCGGCCGAGACCCCTAGTGGGATGCAGCAAACCGTTCAGAACCACTGTGATATGGGATTGAACCGCAGGGTCGGAGAGGTCTAGAGCTGGCTGCTGTAACAGGGTTACCACCTCGCATGCACACATCCAGAGTGCAACTTCCTCCTCTCGAATCACCCTCCCGTCTCCCCCCCCCTGGTCTCTCAGTCCCTCCATTCTCTCCCGGCTGTTGCGGCCGCTGCTGCTGCTTCGGCCAATCGCGTGCGTCCGCAGCTTCGTTCCCAAGCCTCCCTGCTTGGCTCGGGACGCGGCGAACGCGAGCCGCTGGCTCGGGAACGGGAGGGAGTGCAGCGAGGAGAGGAACGAGTGGGCCGACCGGACGGCAGGACTGAAAAAGGACGAAGCGAGGACTGTAGCAGCGGTCGGGCGGCGAGCGGGGTTGCGGTCTACTAGGCCTCTGATCACCGGTTGCACGGAGCTTGGCAGGTTGTAGAAAGCGGGCGGCAGACTGCCGACCGTGGCGAAGACGTGTGCTGAGTCTGGGTCGAAAAGCGGGCGGCGGAGGAAAATCTCCGCAATCACGCAGCCGGCCACAAAAATATCTTCCGCCCAGCAGGAGCAGGAGGATGAGGAAGAGGACGAGGATGCGGACGTGCCTTGTTTGTCCGTTTCTTCCTCCTCCTGCCCCATATGATGTCGGTTTGCTGTAACTATGGAACCAGAAGCAGCAGCAGCAGCAGCAACAGCAGACCCCATCCCCCCTCTCCGGTAACCCCTGGGGGAGACAGGAGGCGGGGCAAGGATCTCGGGCGGCGGCCAATAGACGGGCGACAGGTGGCGCGTGGATTCTAGGAATCGAGAAAATTCCTCCACTTGCTGGAGTGTGCGTGACATTGAGAGGGGGGGACGGGATGAGGGGGAGGGGGAGGGAGAAGGAGAGGGGGAGGGGGAGGGGGAGCGAGGGGAGGTTAAGGGAAGAGGGGTGGGTGATGTGGGGAGTGGTGACGGTCTGGGGGAGGAGAAAGAGGGAGAAGGGAGGCTGGATGGAGTGGTAGCAGACGGGGAGGCAGCAGCAGCAGCAGCAGCAGCAGCAGCAGTAGCGGGGGAATCAGCAGGGTTTCGCTGGTCCAAAGCAGTGTTACTCCCACCTTCCCCTCCCTCCCCTCTTCCACCTCCTCCCAACCCCATTCCTCCTCTCACTCCTCCTATCTCTCTCCCTCCCCAAACTCCTCCCCTCCCTCCACTCAACCCCGCTGGTCTAGGTCCCCTCTGCGGGTGAGGATGCACGAACAGCTGGCACCTCCCATGTCCACGTGGCGCCTCCTCATTGGTCGGTGGCGGGACCACATTCTTGGCGGCCAATGCCGCGTCGCCAGCGAGACAGTAGCCAAAGGTGAGGTCGATCCAGTGGTGCAGCTCAGAAGAGACAAAATCACCCTCTAGTGCCGCCCGGTGGAGGGCGAGGAAGCGATGGACGCGATTGGATTTGATTCGCAGGATCAAATCGTCGCCGTCCATCATAATTGCAGGATCTGAAGATCCAGAAAGATCTCTTTCAAATTTGACTCCTCCCTTTCCTCCTCTCTCCCCTCCTCCCTCCCCTCCCCCTTCCCCTCCTCCCTCCCCTCCTCCCTCCCCTCCTCTTTCCCCTCCTCTCTCTCCATCCACCTCCGCTCCCCCCACACTGCCCGCAAACTCATCCATCCAATCAGGAGGCGCCAGGTCGGGCAGCCCCTCATGGTACGACCGAAACAGGGCAGGATCGAAAAAAAACTCGGGCAGGGTCTCATCAGGAGTCCACCTATACATCCTCCCCATCGTACTAGGATACTCCTTAGGCTCAAAGACCGTCCTCACCACCCTCCTTAATATCCACAGAGGGAGTTTTCGAGCCGAGTACATGCAGACTGCCACGTCAGACACACACTCTTCTGCCACGTGGTGGGGGACTTCGGAGGACGAGTAGGTGAAATCGAGCTGCTCGTCGCCTTTTACCGCCCGCCACTTAGTTAAGCGCAGGTTCCGCCAACCCTTGAGGGGAGCTGTGGAGGAGGAGGAAGAGGAGGATAGAGTAGTACTGGTAGCGGTAGCACCAGCAGCAGCAGCAGCGGCGGCAGGACGCAGAGGAGGAAAGCTTTCGCTTGCTCTATCCGCAGATATCAGATCACCGACAGACAGGTCCCTAGGTAACAAGCCAGCAGCATCAACCCCGACAGACAGGTCCCTGGGTAACAAGCCAGCAGCATCAACCCCGACAGACAGGTCCCTGGGTAACAAGCCCGCAGCATCAACCCCCTCAGAAGAAGCCACAACAGCCACGGAGGCCTCGGAAGCAGAACCCGTACGATCAAAAGCAGAGACATTAAAAGCAGAGATTGAACGCCCGGTGAATGAACCCCCGGTGAATGAACCCCCGGTGAATGAACCCGCGGTGGTATCAAAAGGAGCCACCGTGAAATCAATCACCCACGGAATGACAGCGTGGAAATCCCTGTCTCCGCTCCGCCTCCCCGCTATTCTGTTGAGCTCCAGGAGATAATCCAGGTTGCTGATCTCCCATGCCATCCACCTGCCCAGGAGATCACTGAAAGGAAGCTTCGCGGCAAGTGCGCGCTGCGGAGGAGGAAGCTTCCTTAGAATTTCCTCCTGCTCATCTTCTTTGTCCCCGCCTTTCACCATGGCTCCCTCTCCTGTCGAAATCACCTCCGCGTCTTGCCCCTTTTGCTCTCCTTTCCTTTCTTCTCCTCCTTTTCCTCCTCCTCTCCCTTCGTCTCCTCTCACCTGCCTTCCAGCCCTATTCTTCCTACTACCATCACCAATCCCTCCTTTTCCCTCCCCTACTCCCCCTCCCCCCCCCCTCTAAACCACCCCCAAAATCCCCTCCCAGCATCAACCGCGGCCACAGATTCGCCGAGAACGCAATATTGGGCGGCACTGCCGCCCCGCAGGAGATCCCCAGCGCATGTGCTGCCGCCACCCCCTGCAAGAATCCAAACGCGACCAGCCGGGCGGCAAACTCGTCTCGTAGCGCCTCGGGGCTGTGCCGAAGCACGCCGGCCAGAGTGAAGGGAACGGAGGGGTAGAGGAAGAAGATTGTGGTCCCTGATTGGTCGGAAGGTTGGGCGGCGGTGGAGACGAGCGCCGCTACAGGACAAAAGATGTTGTCCAAAGTGAGTTGAGGGAGAGCGGAGGAGGATGAGGTGGATTCTGGAAGGGAGACTGGAAGGGAGGAGGAGGGTGATAAGAGGGGTAGAAAATCAGGCTTTCCGTCCTGCTCCTGGTGCTCCTGGTGCTGCTGCTGCTGCTGCTGAAAGTTCTGCTGTTGCTCTTGCTGCTGCTCTTGCTGCTGCGTCTCCTGCTGCTGCTCCTCTTCAGGCACCCAGATTCGAAGGGAGGGGGTTTTGTGAGCCAGGTCACTGCCACCTTCTGCTGCTGCTGCTGCCCCTCCTGCTGCTGCTGCTGCTGCTGCTGCCCCTCCTGCCGCTCCTGCTGCTGCTGCTGCTGTGGCTGTGGCTGTGGCTGTGCGTGTGGAGGGAGTGGGAGCAAGAGGAGGCTTCGAAGACGGGCTCTTCTGTGGCTTCTCTCCCTTCTCTCCCTCACTCACTTGCTCTCCCTCACTCACTTTCTCTCCCTCACTCACTTTCTCTTCCTCACCCACCTTCTCTCCCTCACTCACTTTCTCTCCCTCACTCACTTTCTCTTCCTCACCCACCTTCTCTCCCTCACTCACTTTCTCTCCCTCACTCACTTTCTCTTCCTCACCCACCTTCTCTCCCTCACTCACTTTCTCTCCCTCACTCACTTTCTCTTCCTCACCCACCTTCTCTCCCTCACTCACTTTCTCTCCCTCACTCACTTTCTCTCCCTCACTGACCTCCCTCTTATTCTCTCCCTCTGTCCTCTCATTCTTCTCCATCTCACCACCTCCACCCACCTCTCCCCCCATCCTGACCTCCCCTCCCTCCACTCCAGTCTCTTCAGTCTCAGGTAATTTTTCAGGTGAGCTTTCAGGTGCATTCCCAGGTAGTTGATCCGCGAGTTTGTCTCGTCTTGCTTCTGCGCCCCTCACTCCTTCTGCGCCCCTCACTCCTTCTGCGCCCCTCACTCCTTCCGCGCCCCTCACTCCTTTCATCCCCTCTTCTCCTGCCCTCCCCTCTTCTCCACTCTCCTTGATTGTGCCAAAGGAAAAGCTCCCCCCGTCAGAGTCACTGTGATTAAACTGAGGCCCTTTTTCGGCCTCAACAGGCTCTACAGCCTTCAATATAGTCATACTTTCAATAGGCGTGCTGCCATTTGATACAGTCACATCACTGGTACCCGCTACAAGCCCTTCCCGGACAGATAGGGATGCCACGACAGCAGATAGTGACCTGGCAGAGGCATGTGTCCACGTCAGATTGGGTGCCAGCCTGGCAGCTACAGCCACGGCCCACTCCACATCGCAGCAAGCGTCGGGCCTTCTGCTCTGGCTCGGCAACTGGTTCGGAGATTGGTCTGGCAACTTGCTAGGTACGGAAGTTCTGGCATTACTGCTCCCACTCACTCCGTTTCTTCCTCCTCCCCCGTTGCATCTCCCACCCTCGTTACAGGGGCTGCGGCAGCGGCAGTACTGCAGACGTGGCGCAGTCTTATTGGCCCTCACAGCAAAGCACCGATTGGCCGCTCCTGCAAGGCTCGTCCACTGCTGCTGCTGCCCCTGCTGCTGCTGCTGCTGCTGTTGTTGCTCCTGCTGCTGCTCCTGCTGCTGCCCCTGCTGTTTCTGGTTACCAGATGTCGCAGGTGGGAGGGCGGGTGGGAGGGCTGTATGGTCGAATTGAACAGACGGGTCCGAGCCTAGCGAGCAGACATACTCAGGGAGTGAGAGGAGAGGAAGTGAGTCAACATTGACGGGGGGAGACGAAGAACCCTCCCCTCTTTGTTCATCCGCTAGGCCCGCGCCACCTGTACTGTCCTTGGTGGTGTTGGCATTGGAGGAGGCAGGTTTGGAGGCAGCCGGTTTGGAGGCGGCAGGTTCGGAGGTGGTAGGTTTGGGGGCAGCAGGTTCGGAGGTGGTAGGTTCGGAGGTGGCAGGTTTGGCAGTGGCAGGGTCGGAAGACAGAGGTTGGGTGAAGGTTGGTAGGGAAGGGAGGAAGGAGGAGAGAGGGAGAGATCCTAGCGCTCCTCCTGCAGTTGAGAAGCTGTTTGGATGTGTGATATGATGTGATGTGATGTGATGTGATGTGAAGTGATGTGAAGTGATGTGAAGTGATGTGATGTGATGTGATGTGATGTGATGTGATGTGATGTGATGTGATGTGATGTGATGTGATGTGATGTGATGTGATGTGAAGTGATGTGAAGTGATGTGATGTGATGTGATGTGATGTGATGTGATGTGATGTGATGTGATGTGATGTGATGTGATGTGATGTGAAGTGATGTGAAGTGATGTGATGTGATGTGATGTGATGTGATGTGATGTGATGTGATGTGATGTGATGTGATGTGATGTGATGTGATGTGATGTGATGTGATGTTTCACACAAAGCAGCGACGAAACAGAAAGAAGCTATGAGGTTTAATGTTGCAGTGTTGCAGAAAAAGTTGGGAGAAAGGCGAGGGAAAGGTCAGAAGTGCGGTGAGTGTGGTTGGGACAAAGGAATGAAGGAGAAAGGATCTGAAAAAGCAATGCACTGTGACATGAAAGAAAAGAAATCTTAACTCATAAACACTGCACCGCACTGCACCATGCCATACTCCATCCCTAAACACCACCCTGCACCATGGCATGCCACCACTCCATACCCCACCCCATCCCCCACCCACCGCACTGCTCTGAGGCAAAACCCTCTCCCCGCCGCACTGCACCATTACGTACCCCTGGGAGTGGCAGAAGCGACAGCTGGCCCCGTTCCAGCATGTGATTGGCTGCAGCAGGAACTGCTGACTGCGACCGGGTCTGGTTGGATTGAAGACATTGCAAAGGGAAGGGTAAGGTATCAACTGGAGTTCAGTGGTAAGAGCTCAGGGGAGCTTAGCGTTAGGGTTTAGACATCGCAAAAAAGAAACCAGAAAAATCCGCCCACCTTTCAGTGGGAACATAGTTGTTTGTTTGTTAGAGGAGGCCGTGGGCTTCACCCTTTGAACAGTTGTCAAAAGTGACTTTTGAGGCGCCTCTTGAGGCGACTTTTGAGGCGCCTCAAAAGTCGTTTCAGTGGGAACGTAGTTGTTAGAGGAGGCCATGGGCTTCACTCTCTCAACAGCTGTCAAAAGTGGGTTACAAGGAATCTGCTCACCTTTCAGCGAGAATAGTCTTTAGAGGAGGCCATGGGCTTCATTTTCGAGGCTTGTCAGAGGTGTTTTTAGGAGAGAGAATCTGCTCGCTCACCTTTCAGTGGGAACGTAGTCCTTAGAGGAGGCCACACAATACCCATCTGGGAACTCTCAAAAGTGATCTTAAAGGAATCTGCTCAACTTTCAGTGGGAACGTAGTCCTTAGAGGAGGCCACACAATACCCATCTGGAAACTCTCAAAAGTGATCTTAAAGGAATCTGCTCACCTTTCAGTGGGAACGTAGTCCTTAGAGGAGGCCACGGGCACTCCGCGCTCATCCACCTCCACCTGTTAGGGGGAGAGCGATGGGGGAGAGCGATGGGGGAGAGGCATGGGGGAGAGAGGGGCAGGGAGAGAGATGGGGGAGAGAGGGGCAGGGAGAGAGATGGGGGAGTGGGGGACAGGGAGGTGGTTGTTTTTTAGTCGGCTCAATCTTCATATCAGGGATGGGGGAGAGGGATGGGGGAGAGGGATGGGGGAGAGAGATGGGGGAGAGCGATGGGGGAGAGCGATGGGGGAGAGCGATGGGGGAGAGCGATGGGGGAGAGAGGGACAGGGAGAGAGATGGGGGAGAGAGGGGCAGGGAGAGAGATGTGGGAGTGGGGGACAGGGAGGTGGTTGTTTTTTAGTCGGCTCTATCTTCATATCAGGGATGGGGGAGAGGGATGGGGGAGAGGGATGGGGGAGAGGGATGGGGGAGAAGGATGGGGGAGAGGGATGGGGGAGAGGGATGGGGGAGAGGGATGGGGGAGAGGGATGGGGAAGAGGCATGGGGGAGAAGGATGGGGGAGAGGGATGGGGGAGAGGGATGGGGGAGAGGGATGGGGGAGAGGGATGGGGGAGAGGGATGGGGGAGAGGCATGGGGGAGAGGGATGGGGGAGAGGGATGGGGGAGAGGCATGGGGGAGAGGGATGGGGGAGAGGGATGGGAAGGAAAAGGAGAGAAGGGGAGAAGGATGGGGGGACATAGCCTTAGAGGAAGCCACGCGCACTCCGCGCTCATCCACCTCTATCTGTTAGAGGAGAGGCATGGGGGAGAGAGGCGAGGGGGAGGGATGGGGGAGAGGGGAGGGGGCGAAGGATGGAGAGAAGGGAGGGATAGAGGGACGGGGGAATAGGAGAGGTTCAGTCAGAGGCGAAATTTCAGTTGAATCTAACGACATCCGTAGGCTACTCAGTAACCACCTCTCACCTCGTATACTATCAGCCCGCTTTATGGTAAGGTTGACCGGCTAGGATGCGTCTCATCGCATTTCCTTATTGATCACGGCCAAGAATCCGTCTCATTCTGAAACTATTTTCAGTCCGCTGTGCGGCAACTGCATAGGGTTAAGACCTAACAACATTCTTTGTTAATACGGACTTCAGTCGGTCGTACCTCGCACACTATGAGTCCGCTGTGCGGTAAGGGCGGGCGACTAAGAACACAGCGCGTTTTTAACTAAATCGGTCTCACCTCGCACACTATTAGTCCGCTGTGCGGTAAAGGCGGGCGACGCCACGAGTGCGGCTCGACGGCGAGCAAATGGGAGACGAACACGTCAGCAGAGAGTTGCTGGCGAATCAGCTCCGACGCCTCGACCAGCGATAGCGACTGCGATTGGCCCATGCTGACGTGGAACTGCAGATTTCCCTTCCGATTTCCCGCCTCAGGTGTTTCGCACTAGGACCGAAGATCAAGCGGCATAATGGGACAGTGGCTCTCGAGATTTCTTTCGAATCCTTTGCAAGCGCTTCAATTCGCCGAATCTCCTGGCGGAATAACACAGAAAATGTGGCTCAATAAACCAAACTCGCGTATTTTCCGTCGCCTATGTCTGTAGCCTAGAAGGTCGAACTAAGCTTGTAAAATTGGCGAAAACGAATGCGGAGGTCAAGCAACGCGGAACAATGCGGAGGTCAAGCAAAACGGACCATCCAACACAGCAGTGAGCGGAAGCGATGCCTAATGTCCGTGACTCCCTAAGAATTCGAGGACGGCCTAGAAACCTCCTCCCACCACAAGATCCCAATCCATGATGCAACCCGTGGCTCCTTGAGAAGCATTGATGGGTGGTGTGGTGGGGACGACTGGCAGTCTGTTGTCACAGCGCCTGCTTGCCTCCCAACTGTTGAACTCGAGGCCAACAGAAACAAGGCCCAGATTCTACCTTGCGGCTGTGAACGCTTTCGCACGGCTTTTGCGAGATGGCCGGCGAGTGGTGGAGAACAGCGAATTCGGCTGGTGGAGTGGGCTGATGTGAGCTGGAATACGGTGGCGTAAGGTGGAGTGGATTGAGGTGAAGAGTAGTTGTGTGAAGAATTTGAGGCGATGTCTCGATAGAGGCCCATACAGCACGCATCAACATTCTCTCAATCTTCTCAGTAGTGCTCTCAACCAATACACCATGGGTATTAAAGTGATACTGCAATTATAGTGTAGACAAGGAACTGCCAAGGGAGGGATGCCTACTGTGTTCCTTTACCATGTAATATAAACTCTCAACGGTTGATAATTTGTGTCTCTTGGATAGTTCTTGAGGTGGTCGCGCATGCCTTATAGATTTCCATATTAATGTCCGTCATTATGAAATGTAGCGTTGAAAGATGAGACGGTCATTGTTTTTGCGTCGCGCCTGTACGCTGTCGCGGAGTACCTTACATACGCTTGAAATCTCAAATGTCAGCTAGCAAAAAGACAAGCAAATACGGACAAGTTGACGCGACGCGAAATGCCTAGCACACACACTGGCGAATAGCACTCCCGTGAGAGGAGCGGAGAACATCGAGTCGCGGTTGAGCATTTCACATCGGTCAATTTGAAATGCGATCCAGTTTTCGCAGTGCGTGTTTGCGAATGCGATCTTTTCGGGCAGAACCATGCGGCTGCCCGTGTTTAGGCTTGGGGCTCCCCGTGTTTAGGGTTGGGGCTCCCCTTACCGCATGCCATCCAGATGGGGTTTATATTTTTCTGACCGCGGGCAGATAACGACCCCTCAGCTTCTTCCACTGGGGATCGCATTTGCAAACCGCGCTGGCCTAATTGGATTGCTGATGAAGTTGTCCCCATTTCACATCACAACAAGCCCCCCCCCCCTCCACACCACACCTTCCACCGCCACGAAGGAATTTCCTGAGTGGACTCGCGCGGTCTGGACGGTGGTTCGGGCTGGGGGGAAGAGGTTGTACATGTACAAATGCAGAGCCTCACCTCATTTCCATCCATCAATCATTCGAACAAACGCAACCAGCTCTCAGCTACATTTGACTTTTTCTTCAGCCTACCCATTCCACATCAAACGCATTTTAGGCTCTCAACCCAAATCATTCGACATTTAGAAACAACGATTCGATTGTCTTCAGCCACCATTTCAGCACCCCCATTTCCGCATTCGTACCTGTTTATAGAAACTATGGCATGCAATTCGAAGATCGAGATTACAGCATCCAGCGAGCTCTCTAGCAGATACACGCTCAAGGAGTTTTTAGGCGAGGGTCAGTACGGTACAGTGTGGCGCTGCGAGGAGCGCACGACGGGCGAACATTTCGCTCTCAAGTACATCGACCTCACCAAGTGCAGCAGCAGGGCCCGCCTCGCAGCTCTCAGCGAAGTCGAGATCCTCCAAAAGATCCGCGATTCTGGCTTCTCCGATAGTGTCGTATCACTCAAGGAAGTGTACGGGGACAACAATTCGCTTTATCTTGTAATGGAGCTGTGCACTGGAGGGGATCTTCTCGAGGTCATCCAGAATCAGCCCGGCGCGTTCATCAGCGAGGCGGAGTCGCGCCACGTGTTCGCGTCCGTGGCGCGCGCCGTGAAGCAGTGCCACGCCAGCAGCATCGTCCACCGCGACATCAAACCCGAAAACATTCTCATCTGCCCGAATTCAAAAAGCGTCCCCGCCACCGCTGCCGCATCAGATAACGGCGCCGCGTCGTTCTCGTACACCGCGAAGCTCGCAGATTTCGGGCTCGCTGTGGACGTGCCGTGGTTGCAGCAGATTCGCGGGTATGCCGGCAGCAAGCCGTATGAGGCGCCGGAGGTTATGGCGGGGGTTGCGTACGACGAGTCGGCGGACATCTGGAGCCTCGGCGTGACTCTCTACGCGATGCTGTCGGGAAAGTGGCCGCTCTTTAGCGGAGGGAAGCGGGTCCTCGACGAGAAGGCGGATTTCGCATCGGACTGGAAGAACGTCTCAGGAGATGCGAAGGATCTCATCCGTCGGATGCTGTGTGTGGACGTGAACGAACGGTTCACGATTGACGATGTTCTGGCGCATCCGTGGGTGCGTCCAGCAGTCGAGGCAGTGACTCAGGAAGCGATGGAAACCGCCGATCTGTCCGACGGACGAACGGCAGCTGTTGATTCCGACACCGCGGGAAGCATGTCGTCTGTGAGTGCAACCAACAGCATGGACAGTGATTTCGGGAGCAACGCGGAGAAGCCGCGCTGGGGTGGAAAGCTATCTCCGCGCACCGTTCTGAACCGCGTCAAGCAGGCCTTCTCCCCTCTCATACGTCAGAAGGAGGCATCGTGCATCCCCATCGAAGTTCTCTAAGCATCTTCGTTTATGGGTGATCCCAAGCATTTAGAGCTCTTGGTGTAGGCTAGACAGTTTACTCAGTTATAGGACAACAGGAAGTGTTGCTGTGGTGCCCGGAGATCAGAGGGTACGATCCCGAGCACCCTAGCAACTCATTCCTTGCATTGAAGTGTGTATTATTGATTTCCTTATACGAATAATGCATCCAGCAAACAAGTCTGGATTGAAATTTCGAAATTCTCCCAGGCAAACAGGGTTCAATGCATCCACGGTTGTTCAGGTCAGATGGAAGCAAAAACTGTTCAATGCAGCCAAAAGCGTTGCAGTCTGGCTGATTACGGTCCAGAGCGGCGCTCCGACCGCATTATCGATGGTGCAGCATTTTCCCATTTCCAGGGTTTGGCAAGGTGGTCATCTCTGTGGCGTTGTTCCCTCGTTTTATCGCGTGTCACCGTACAGAAACACATTTCACCTTTTGCGGCCTAGGATGTGACCAGAAGAACCGTTGTGCCACGACCCTGCAATCTTATTGGCGTTCACCACTGACAGATACAACTCAGATTTCACTTGTGCTGCGAATGTTCCACTCACCGAAAACACACACCTGACCCTCGTATACTTCCTATTGCACCGTTGTCTACCGTACAAACATTCTCTGCAACGCACTCTATCGAACACTCTAGCCAAGCTGAAGATATTTTGGATTCGGCGCATGGGGACTTCAACGGACCACAAACAGTTCACCACGTCAATAGTTGCTAAATTAGGTTTTCTTGGCTACGCCTGCCTTGCTCCTGGATTTTCAGACTTCGAATGCGGCTTTAGTGTCGACTCGGCCCAGTTTTAATCTTGCTACTCGTGTGCGTTAATCAAGATGCTGGCTGTTCACATCGGTATACGTAGCTTAGTACATATGTGTATCATATAGGGACCGTGGCGTCAGCACGTAATTTGCGTATTAGCAGCCAGAAACTCGACAAAGAGCTATATATCGGAGCTGCTTCAATGAGAGCCATCACGAAAAACGGCAGGAGGCTCGGCCCTGAGCCGTATGCGGCGCGCAGTCAGCTGTCTCCCGTGCTTGCATCCCCCTTCCCCTCCCGCTCATCCTCAATATCTACGTATGGGGATGCTTCTCCTTCTCTGCTAGCCAAGCAGCGTTGTAAGCGAGGCTCCGCGCGCAGTCAGCCGCGCAGCTGCTGGGGGGACGCAGCCGCGCGCAGTCACACGCGCAGTCACGCGCGCAGTCACGCGCGGAGTCAGGCGGTCAATCAGGCGCTATGTTGCCTCGTCGCGTTCCTAGCAGTCGCGTGTCAGCATGTCGCCCCGGTTGCTGGCGTCATCATCATGATCGCTCCGGACAACGCCACGTACTCGTTTGAAGACGCTGACGCCGCGTTCGGTACACCCGCCGCTTCTCCCGCTCCCCCCTCCCCTCTGCTTCCTCCCCCCCCACCCCCCCACACCTCCCCATCCTCCCTCCACCCCCTTTTCCCCCCTTCATAAGAACGCATGGGATTCTGAATATTTCCTCTTTTCGCCTCTTATAAGCACACACACGCGTTGGGAAGTTTTTATAAGTAGACTCTTGAGCCGACTCAGAAGTTGCTGGCGTCATCATCATCATTGCTCCGAACAACGCCACGTACTCGTTTGAAGGCGCTTTTCAGTCTCTAATAGAACTTTATGGCAGTGTTGTCAATCTGTCTCTAGTACCGTAACGATCGATTTGTTGTGTTTTTCTTCTTTCAATCTTGACTTGCCTGTCACCTACGTGGCTCACTTTCCGCTTCCAATTTCCCCCCACCCGCTTTTCCCACCCCTTAACTCGAGGCTGCCTCATCCCCTCTGCTCTCGAGTGTTGACTCACTTTCCGCTCCCCTTTCCCCCCCCGCCTTCCTTCCCCTTTTCTTTCCCCTTCCCCTTCTTATTCCGCTTTCCTACCGCTGCTCTTTCCCTTTCCGCCCGGTCTTCCTCCTCGCTTTCCTCTTCCCCCAGGCGGCCTCATCCCCTCGACGGGCATGCGCGGAGTGCTCCGCCGCGCCGTCCCCTACGACGCATGCGAGCCGCTCACGAATCCCGCGGGGAGGGAATCCGCGGAGGGGGAATCCGCGGAGGGGGAATCAGCGGGGGAATCGGCGGAGGGATTTACGGAGGCGGAGTTTGTGCTTATAGAGAGGGGCAACTGCCTGTTCGACGTGAAGGCGCTGAACGCGCAGCGCGCGGGATACGCGGCCGCGGTGGTGTACGATAACGAGCCCGGGAAGAGGCTTATAACGAGTACGTGGTGTGGCGTGGCGTGGGGTGGAGTGGGGTGGGGTGGGGTGGGGTGGGGTGGGGTGGAGTTGAAAAGGGTAGGGCGGAGGGGGAATGGCGGAGGGGAAAATGGGAGGGGGAGTCGAAGGGGGGGAGGGAGGAGGGCAATGGCACGTGTGGGGTATTGCCATTCCAGCAATCCTCCTCACTCAATCCTCCCCAGCAACTAGCGTGATTCACTCTTCATCTCTCGCTCCCACCTCCTCTCCCACGTGATATAAGTAGTGTTTTGAGACGTCTCAAAGCAATTCTCCTCACGCAATTCTCCTCACGCAATCCTCCTCACGCAATCCTCCACAGCAACTTGCGCCATTCACTCTCCATCTCTCACTCCCACCTCCTCTCCCACCTCCTCTCCCACCTCCTCTCCCACGTGATAACCGCGTCATAAAAGTAGTGTTTTGAGACGTCCCAACGCAATCCCCCTCACTCAACCCTCCCCAGCAACTAGCGCCATAAATTTTTCATCTCTCACTCCCACCTCCTCTCCTACCCACCCTCATCACAACCCTCCTCTCTCTCTTCCCACCCCTCTCCCAGTGTCAGGGCGGCACATGTGAGGGCATCACAATTCCAGCAGTTTTCGTCACTCAATCCTCTGGCCACGCCCTAACCAACATCATCAACCGCTTCCCCCTACCCTCCTTCCACCACCCCCTCTCTCCGCCCATCCTCTTCCCCCCTCTCCCCTTCCCAGTGTCAGGGCGGCACATGTGGGGCATCGCCATTCCAGCAGTCTTCGTCACTCATTCCTCCGGCCACGCCCTTATCAACATCATCAACGGGTTTTCCCAACCATCCGACTCCTCCCCCTCCTCCGCCTCCGCCTCCTCCTCTCCCTTCTCCCCCTTCCCCTCCCCCTTCTCCCCATTCTCTCTCCCCTTCTCCTCCCCGGAATCTCCCCCTCCCATCTGCGTTCTCCTCCCTACCTTCGACAATGCGGCCTGGTCTGTAATTACCGCATCCCTAGTCTCCCTTCTCTCCCTCTCTATAGTCCTCGCCTCGTTTCTCTTTATAAGACGGCACAGGCTGCGGCAGGCTGTAGCAGCCGCCGCCACAGCCATGGGCGCGGGCGGCGCCGGTCGGCTGCTAGCGGCGCGTCAGGAGCCGCCCGGGCTGTCAGAGGAGGAGGTCAAGGCGCTTCCAGAATTGGTTTTCCCGCCAAAAGGGAAGCATTCGGGTAGTGTGTCAGTATTTGGTGGTGGCTGTAGCAGGGTCGGCTGTAGCAGCTGTGGGGGAAAAGGGTTGAAGGGGACAGGGGTAGGTGGAAAGGAGGCAGGCGGGGCTGCAGCAGCATCTGTAGCAGCAGCTGTAGCATCACCAGAGGAAGGCGAATTAGGGAGGGAAAGAACAGCAGGACGAGCTACAGCTGTAGCAGCAGCTATAGCACCAGAGCAGGCGGAGGAAAGCAGGCCACTGCTACCCAGTGGGTGTGTGGCTGTGTCAGTTGCAGATGGAAGCGAGGATGGTGATTGTAGCAGTGGTGATTGTATCGGTAGTGATACTAGTAGTGACGATGCTGCTGTTGCAATGGGAGCAGAGGGAGGAGAAGGAGGAAAGGGACGAGAGGGAGGAGAGAGAGGAGAGGGAGGAGAGGGAGGAGAGGGGACAGAGGGAGCAGTGGAAGCAGGGGGAGGAGAGGGAGGGGGCAGAGAGATGGAGACGTGTGCAATCTGCCTGGAGGACTATGAGTGGGGGGATAGGCTGCGCCTTCTGCCCTGCTCGCATGGTGAGTGAGCGGGGTGATTTGATAGCACGGTGAGTCAAGAGGGGGATAGGTAGCAGGGAGGGCAGCAGGGGGGCCAAGGGGCAGGGAGATGGAGATGTGTGCGATTTGCCTGGAGGACTATGAGTGGGGGGGTAGGCTGTGCCTTCTGCCCTGCTCGCATGATGAGTTGACCAGTGGTTGACCTGTGGTTGACCAGTGTTGACCAATGGTTGACCAGTGCCCGTTTTGCCTCTCCATTGACTCTCTCTTTCTTCGCTGTTCTCTCCCCAGTACCTCTCTCGCTCCTTCCGCCTGCAGAGTCTCCCCAATGGTTGACTGCGTTGAGTTGACCACGGGTTGACCACCCACTGCCCATGCTGCCTCGTTATCCTCACAGCTCTCTGTTCGCTGTGCACTGCTCCAATTGTAATGAGGTTATTTTTGAGGCGTCTCTATGTGGCTTCTCAAATAACCTCATTACACGTGGCTTCTGTCTGTTCGCTGTTCAATTTCTCTGTCTGCACGGCTCCTATTTCTCTGTCTGCACGGCTCCAATTTCTGTCTGCACGTTACCCGCAGAGCTCCGTGTTGACTGCGTTGACCAGTGGTTGACCACCCGCCACCCGTTCTGCCTCTCTACTCACTTCATTCTGGCTTTGCTCTGCTTTTCTCCAATACCTCTTTCTCCTTTCTTGCCTGCAGAGTTTCACGTTGACTGCGTTGACCAGTGGTTGACCACCCGCCGCCCTTTCTGCCCCGTCTGCAAGCGAGACGCACACCCCCCCATGCACCCCTCCCCCTCCTCCCCTCCTCCTCTCACCTCCGCTTCCTCCTCCACCACCACCACTACCGCTGCTGCTCTAGCCTCCTCTTCCTCTGTCGCTGCTTCGACTGCTCTCTTTGTCTCCTCCCTGCTCTACCCCCTCATCCGCTCCTTCTCTCCCCTCCCACCCCTGCTCACCGCATCCAACTCCTCCAATCCATTTTCCACCGCACCCAACACCTCAAATTCCGCATCTGGAAGCAGCAGGAGAACCAGACCCTTCCGACCCTCCTCCTCTTCTTCCACCTCCTCCTCTTCCTCCTCCTACCTCTCCTCTCCATCTCCCCACTCTCCCACAAACCCGGTTACTGCACTCCACCCTCCCGGACTCTCCCTCTCCTCCTTCCCTCCCTCGGTCACCCCATCCACCTCCATCCCCACTCTCCCTCCCTCCCACTTCCCCACTCCAAGGTTCATCGCAGCTTCAACCGCCTCCTCCTCACTCTCTCCCCCTGACCCTTCCCGGGAACCCTTCTTGCTGCATCACCCTTCGAGAGACTCAGACGATGAAGAGACGGGGGAGATTAGACCTGTTCCTATGCCTGGGTTCACCCCACCGTCACCCACACCTCCTCATTTGGAGGTCTCGAATTGAGTCGATTTTCATGTCAACTAAAGAAAACGACCCTTCTTGCTGCATCACCCTTCGAGGGATTCAGATGATGAAGAGACGGGGGAGATCAGACCGGTTCCCATACCAGGGTTCATCCCACCGTCACCTACATCCCCTCAATTGCAGGTCTCAAACTGAGTGGACCCTAAAATTGACCCTTCCTGCCGCATCACCTTACTAGGGTAGGGACTCAAATGATGAGCCCACTCATTTGCAGGGTTGCAGAGTGAATGGTACACTTATTTTTTGTGTTTCCGTCTTTTGTTTCGTAGTTTACTGTTTTATCTAATGATGAAATGCTACCATCCGTTTCTAAAAAACCTTGGGGCAGGGACACAGATGGTGCATGGATGTGGGCATGGTACCCACATGGTGTTACGGTATCAGTTCTGGCGATCACCCTGGCAAAGTTAGTCACAGCCTTCAATTTCAGGGCTCTGGCTCGTCAAGATAATATGCAGAATGATATACATAATATTTCGCTGCATACTACTGTACAGAGCTCTACAACTGAAATTATGTACCATCTACCGTAAATAAAACGTATTGTACTGGCTAGTGGGATGTAGCACGCTACTGTGCTGCTTTACTGGGAGGGAGGTCTGTCACACATTTTTCTGACCGCTGAATTCACAGAAGCTGCTGCAATCAGTGAAGGGACTCGGTGTGACAGGAGGAGGAGGAAGCTGATGGGACAGTGGAGGTTAGGATTGGGGGATGAGAAAGGAAGAGAGGGGAGGGCGGAGGGTGGAGGGAGGAGGGAGAGAGGAGGTACGAGGGACGGGTGAGGAGGAAGGAGGGAGGAGGGGATGAGGGAACAAGGGGGAGGAGGATGGAGGGAGGAGGGAGTTGCACATTTGCCCAAACCTGAGAGGCCGAGGGAAGATGGGCAATTGGGCAACTCTCCCTGTGATGCCGATTGTGGTGCCGGTTGAGATGTCCGAGTGATGTACAGAACCGTGATAACCGAAGCAATCATTCTCCGAAGTTGCATGATAACCGTGTCGCAAGGAATCCTTGAGAGTGGGCTGTTGTCCCGAGTTCCGCCGCCCGTTTACGCCGCGATTGGGCGGCTCTGCCTGGCTCCTGCCGCCCCGTCAACCGATTGTGAAAGGCAGACGGCTGTCGGCGCCACACGGGACGATCCCCGCCGCCCGGCGCGCATCTTGAAAGCCAGGCACGTGGGGACCACGTGCTTCAACGCTGTTGCCGCGTGCTTGGGGCTGCTGAAGTAGTTTCTACGAGGAGAGTGTTTTTTTGGGCTGACCGGGTATTCTGGAGCTTCGAGGACAGAGATCTCTAGCTTCTTGGACGCAGGCTTGGAAAGGTTAGGCTCGGGAAAGTCAGGTTGGGGGAACTTGATGTCAGGAATTGCGACAAGGGCGGAAATCGCGGCGGGGATGTCGTCAGCAGTGGTGAATCGGCGGGAAGGGGGCGGAGGCGGTGGAGCTAGCCACGTGTCAGCTGTGCCTGTTGTATTCAAAGTAGTGAAGATATATGAGACGGTATTAGCTGTTTTTGCGTCCGACCTGTACGCTGTTGCGGAGCAGATCACATACGCTTTAAACGTAATGTCCGCTAGCAAAGCGAAGAGACAAACAGATACGGACAAGGTGACGCGACGCGAAACGCCTAGCACACTGGCGTGCCGAGAAGCACTCCAGTGAGACGAGCGGAGAACATCGAGTCGCGGTTGAGCATTTCACATCACAACAAACAAACTTCCCCTCAACTCCACACCTTCCACCGCCACAGAAATTTCCTCCTGAGAGCCTCTCATGTCGCGCAGTCCGGACGGTCGTTCGGGCTGGGGAGAAAAGGTTGTGCAAGCTCAGTACAAATGCAGCGCCTCACCTCATTTCCATCCATCCATCAAACTTCATTCGAACAAACGCAACCAGCATTCAGCTACTTCTGACTACTCTTCCATCTACCATTCAGCAACAGGCGCAATTTAGTTTATTTAGTCCACATCACTCGACATTTAGAGACAACAACTCGAGCGTCTTGAGCCACCATTTTAGCACCCCAGCTTCCGCGTCAATACATGCGTTTAGAAACTATGGCATGCAAATCGAAGATCGAGATTACAGCATCCAGCGAGCTCTCTTGTAGATACACGCTCAAGGAATTTCTAGGCGAGGGTCAGTACGGTACAGTGTGGCGCTGCGAGGATCGCGCGACGGGCCAGCATTTCGCGCTCAAGTACATTGACCTCACCAAGTGCAGCAGCAGGGCCCGCCTCGCAGCTCTCAGCGAAGTCGAAATCCTCCAAAAGATACGCGATTCTGGATTCTCCGATAGTTTCGTATCGCTCAAGGAAGTGTACGGGGACAGCGATTCTCTTTATCTTGTAATGGAGCTGTGCACAGGCGGGGATCTTCTCGAGCTCATTCAGAAGCAGCCCAACGCGTTTCTCAGCGAGGCGGAATCTTGCCACGTGTTCACGTCCGTGGCGCGCGCCGTGAAGCAGTGCCACGCCAACAGCATCGTACACCGCGACATCAAACCCGAAAACATTCTCATCTGCCCGACTTCGAACAGCGTCCCTGCCGTCCCCGCCGCCGCAGCCGCAGCCGCCGCTGATAACGGCACGTCGTTCTCGTACACCGCGAAGCTTGCGGATTTCGGGCTCGCTGTGGACGTTCCTTGGTGGCAGCAGATTCGCGGGTACGCCGGCAGCAAGCCGTATGAGGCGCCCGAGGTGAAGGCGGGGGTTGCGTACGACGAGTCGGCGGATATCTGGAGCCTCGGCGTGACTCTCTACGCAATGCTTTCGGGAAAGTGGCCGCTTTTCAGCGGCGGGAAGCGGGTCCTTGACGAGAAGGCGGATTTTGCATCGGACGACTGGAAGCATGTGTCGGGTGATGCGAAGGATCTCATCCGTCGGATGCTGTGCGTGGATGTGAACGAACGGTTCACGATTGACGAGGTTTTGGCGCATCCGTGGGTTCGCCCAGCAGTAGCGGCAGTAGCTCAGGAAGAGATGGAGACCGTCGATTTGTCCGACGGACGAACGGATGCCGTTGATACGCAATCCGACGCTTACATCACCTCGGGAATTGTCAAAGCCAATTCCGACACGGTGGGAAGCATGTCTTCGGCGAGTGCAACCAATAGCACTGACAGTGATTGCGGGAGAAATACAGAGAAGCCTCGCCGCGGCGGAAAGCTATCGCCCCGCACCGTTCTGAACCACGTCATGAAGGCTTTCTCCCCGATCACACGCCACAGAGAGGCGTCGTGCATCCCCATCGAAGTTCTCTAAGCATCTTCGTTTGTAGGTGATCCTGTACGAGTGTTCGCAGCTGGTGTAGGGTTATAGGATAACAGGAAGAGTTGCTCTGGTGCCCGGAGATCACTGGGTACGATCCCGAGCACCCTAGCAACTTTCTCCTTGCAATTAAGTGTACAAATAAATATTTGATTTCCTTTTTACAAATAAATATGTTCTTCAAGCAAGTCCGAGTTGGAATCTCGAAGATTTCCCCCCCAATTTCACACGACGGGCTACGGTACCCTCGTCATTTCATTTCAGCCCGTTCGGGGTTCAATGTACTCTAAAGCGTTGCAGTCTGGCTGCTTACGGTCCTGAGTGGTGCTTTCAGAATGTAATAAGAAGTGCAGCATTTCCCAATTTTAGGGTTTGCCAGCGGTGCACTTCATCGCCTCGTTACCTCTCCGTACCGTAATCCGCCGTACAGAAACCCTTCCGACCATATGGCTACACGGACGTGACCACCAGAACCGTTGTGCCACGTCCCCGCGAACTCATTCGTGTTCCGCCACCACGGACAGGTACGACTCAGATCAGATTCTTCCTGTGCTGCGAACGTTCCACACACCGGAAACACACTCCACCTCTGTGGATTCCTGTGAAACCGCGTTGGACCGTAAATTCAGCCCGTGCACCGCGTTCTCGAACACTCTTCTGGGCATGGCGGAATTAGAAGACGACCTATTTGTGCTCGTTCTGACAGCATTGGTTGTTGGATTCGACGCATGGGGACTTCGCTTGAAGAGACAACAGACGAACTAGTTCACACCAGCTTCGATTCAACGTTTTCTTGGCTACGGTTTTCCGCGTTCCAGGACTCTCGAATTATGTGTGTGCAGTTCAGTATCAACTCGTACCCGTTATAAGCTTACTACTCATGGCGACGAATCTAGATGATGGATAGCTGTCGGTATCGGTATCAGTAGCTTAGTACATATCAGTACCGCTTAGGGACCGTGGCGCCAGCACGGAATTCTCGTAGGTTACTCAATATCGGAGCTGCTTAAATGAGAGCCATCACAAAACGCGGTCGGAGGCTCGGCACTGAGCGGGCCAGCCGTGCAGCCAGCCGCGCAGCAGCTGGGGGAGCGCAGCACCGCGCAGTGAGGCGCGCAGTCACGCGCGCAGTCACTCGCGAAGCAGCTGGAGCGGCGCAGCAGCGCACAGTTACGCGCGCAGTCACGCGCGCAGCTGCGCACCTGTCAGTCAGACGCTATGGTGCTTCGTCGCGTTCCTAGTAGTCGCGTGTCAGCGTGTCGCGCCGGTTGCTGGCGTCATCATCATGATTGCTCCGGACAACGCCACGTACTCGTTTGAAGACGCCGACGCCGCGTTCGGTACGGCCGTCGCTTTCCCCCACTTCCTCTTCCCCCACTTCTTCCTCTTCCCCCCCTTCCTCTTCCCCCCCTTCCTCTTCCCCCCTTTCCTCTTCCCCCCCTTCCTCTTCCCTCCCTTCCTCTTCCCCCACTTCCTCTTCCCCTCACCCCTTCCCTCCGCCTTCTTACCCCTCCCTTCTTCCAGCGGGCTTTTCGCATCTTAAAATCACACGCACGCGTTAGAATATTCCTTCGGAATTCCTTCACGTGTGCTTCGGCTTTCCGAGAAAACTACCAGACGAAGGAATGCTTGTATCTTTTTTCGTATAAAATAGTATATATTTGTTTACATTCTATGGAAGTCAAGCTGTTTTCATTACTGTTTTTTTTCGCTTTTCCAGATTATTGTCCCTTCTCTTTTAAGTAACCTGTCTCTCCGCGTATATGCTCCTGCCTTTCCCCCACCGTCCCCTCGCCCTGTTACGCCTTCCGCCTTAAGCGCTGTGACTTCCGCCGCGAGCGTTCCGCGCAGGGCGCGCGCGGAGTATTCCGCCCCGCGTTCCCTGCAGCGGCTCCGAGAAGCTTTGAGTCGTTCCTCCCCAGCAATGTTTTATTAAAAATACACTGAAAAAAAACCACAACCGATCTTGTTTGCGCCCCCCTATTCCCCCCTTCCCCTTCCGCTTCCCCTTTCCCTTCCCCCCCACCTTCCCCTTCCGCCAGGCGGCCTCATCCCCACGACGGGCATGCGCAAAGTGCTCCGCCGCGCCGCCCCCTACATAGGTCGCGAGGAGCTTAAGTGCTCACTTTCCGCTCTGCTTCCCCCTCCGCCTCCGCTTCCCCCTCCGCCTCCCCTTCCCGTTCCCTTTCCACTTGCCCCATCCCATTCCCCTTCCCCTTTCTGTACCCCTTCCTCTTCTCTTTCCTTTCCACCTTCCTCCTTGCCTCCCGCTTCCCCCAGGCGGCCTCATCCCCTCGACGGGCATGCGCGGAGTGCTCCGCCGCGCCGTCCCCTACGATGCATGCGAGCCGCTCACGAACCCCGCGGGGGCGGAGTCCGCGGAGGGGGAATCCGCGGGGCAATCCGCGGGGCAATCGGCGGAGGGATTCGCGGAGGCGGAGTTTGTGCTTATAGAGAGGGGCAACTGCCTTTTCGACGTGAAGGCTCTTAACGCGCAGCGCGCGGGGTACGCCGCCGCGGTGGTGTACGATAACGAGCCCGGGAGGAGGCTTATAACGAGTACGTGGAGTGGCATGGAGTGGGGTGGGGTGGGGAGGGGTGGGTCTGTTGTTGAAAAGGAGAGGTGGGGGGGGGGATGGCGGTGGGGGAAAGGGGATGGGGGGATTGGAAGGGGGGGAGGGAGGAGGGAAGGGCAATCCCCCGGAAAGGGGGGGGATGGGGGGATTGGAAGCAGCACATGTCAGGGATTGCCTTTCCGGAAAATTTTCACACTTAGCCCTCCCCAGCAATTCTTGCCCACTCATTCCTCGTCTCTCCCTCCCACCACCTCCCACCACTCCGTCTCCCTCACAACCCCCTCCCGTCCCATCCCTCGCTCCTCTGCCCCCTTCCCAGTGTCAGGGCGCCACATATGTGGGTAATCACCATCCCATCACTTTTGTTTCAAGACGTCTCGTTTCTCCCTTCTCCCTTCCAACCCCCTCTCCCTGCCGTCCCTTTTCACACCCACCCGTCTCTCCCTACCCCCTCCCAGTGCCAGGGCGCCACATGTGGGGCATCGCCTTTCCAGCAGTCTTCGTCACTTAATCCGCTGGTCACACCCTTATCAACAAACCGCTTCTCCCTTCTGTCCCTCCTCCCAACCCTCTCTCGCTACCATCCCCCTCCCCCTCCCAGTGTCAGGGCGGCACATGTGGGGAATCGCCATTCCAGCAGTCTTCGTCACTCATTCCTCCGGCCACGCCCTTATCAACATCATCAACGGGTTTTCCCAATCGCCCGATTCCGATTCCTCCTCCTCCTCCTCCTCCTCCTCCTCCTCCTCCTCCTCCTCCTCCTCCTCCTCCTCCTCCTCCTCCTCCTCCTCCTCCGCCTCCTCCTCCCCCTTCTCCCCCTTCCCCTCCCCCTTCTCCCCCTTCTCTCTCCCCTTCTCCTCCCCCGAATCTCCCCCTACCATCTGCGTTCTCCTCCCTACCTTCGACAATGCGGCCTGGTCTGTAATTACCGCATCCCTAGTCTCCCTCCTCTCCCTCTCTTTAGTCCTCGCCTCGTTTCTCTTTATCAGACGGCACAGGCTGCGGCAGGCTGTAGCAGCCGCCGCCACAGCCATGGGCGCGGGCGGCGCCAGTCGGCTGCTAGCGGCGCGTCAGGAGCCGCCCGGGCTGTCAGGGGAGGAGGTCAAGGCGCTTCCAGAATTGGTTTTCCCGCCAAAAGGGAAGGATTCGGGTAGTGTGTCAGTGTTTGGTGGTGGCTGTAGCAGGGTCGGCTGTAGCAGCTGTGGGGGAAAAGGGTTGAAGGTGACTGAGGTAGGTGGAAAGGAGGCAGGCGGGGCTGCAGCAGCATCTGTAGCAGCAGCTGTAGCATCACCAGAGGAAGGCGAATTAGGGAGGGAAAGAACAGCAGGACGAGCTACGGCTGTAGCAGCTGTAGCAGCAGCTGTAGCACCGGAGCAGGCGGAGAAAAGCAGGCCACTGCTACCCAGAGGGTGTGTGGCTGTGTCAGTTGCAGATGGGAGTGAGGATGGTGATTGTAGCATTGGTGTTTGTACCGGCGGTGATAATAGCAGTGACAATGCTGCTGCTGCAATGGGGGCAGAGGGGGGAGAAGGAAGAAAGGGACGAGAGGGAGGAGAGGGAGGTGAGGGGACAGAGGGGGCAGTGGAATCAGGGGGGGGAGGAGGAGGGGAGGAGGGAGGAGAGGGGGGAGAGGGAGGGGGCAGAGAGATGGAGACGTGTGCGATCTGCCTGGAGGATTATGAGTGGGGGGATAGGCTGCGCCTTCTGCCCTGCTCGCATGGTGAGTGAGCGGAATGGGATGAGCGGAATGGGATGAGCGGAATGGGATGAGCGGAATGGGATGAGCGGAATGGGATGAGCGGAATGGGATGAGCGGAATGGGATGAGCGGAATGGGATGAGCGGAATGGGATGCATGATCTGTTCTCTTTTCTCATGGTACGTTGGCCTCTTTCTCAGCTTTTCTGCAGAGTTCCACGTTGACTGCGTTGACCAGTGGTTGACCACCCGCCGACCCTTCTGCCTCTCTTCTGACTCGTTTCTCTTTGCTGTGCTCTTCCCAATACCTCTCCCCCTCGCTTCCCTGCAGAGTTCCACGTTGACTGCGTTGACCAGTGGTTGACCACCCGCCGCCCCTTCTGCCCCGTCTGCAAGCGAGACGCACACCCCCGCACCCACCCCTCCCTTTCCTCCCCTCCTCCTCTCAATTCCACCCCCACCGCTACCAACACCACCACCACTACCGCCGCTCTCGCCGCGTCTTCCTCTGTCGCTGCTTCAACTGCTCTCTTCGTCTCCTCCCTGCTCTACCCCCTCATCCGCTCCTTCTCACCCCTCCCATCCCTGCCCACCGCATCCAACTCCTCTAATACCGCACCCAACCCCTCACATTCCGCGCCTGGAAGCAGCAGGAGAGCCAGACCTTCCCGTTCCTCCTCCTCTTCTTCCACCTCTTCATCCTCCTCCTCCCACTCCTCCCCATCTCCCCACTCCCCCACAAACCCCATCACCGCACTGCACCCTCCCGGACTCTCCCTCTCCTCCTTCCCTCCCTCTGCCACCCCACCCACCTCCATCCCCACTCTCCCCTCCTCTCACTTCCCCACTCCCCGGTTCATCGCAGCTTCAACCGCCTCCTCCTCCTCCCTCTCTCCCCCTGACCCTTCCCGGGAACCCTTTTTGCTGCATCACCCTTCGAGGGATTCAGATGATGAAGAGACGGGGGAGATTAGACCTGTACCCATACCAGGGTTTACCCCGCCGTCACCTGTGCCCACTCATTTGGAGGTCTCAAATTGAGTGGACTAAAACGGCCCTTTTTGCTGCATCACCCTTCGAGGGATTCAGATGATGAAGAAACGGGGGAGATTAGACCTGTATCCATACCAGGGTTCATTTCTCCGTCACCACCCCCTCAATTGCAGGTCTCAAACTGAGTGGACTTTAAATTCGACCCTTCCTGCTGCATCACCTTCCTAGGGTAGGGACTCAAATGATGAACCCACTCATTTGCAGATTGAATTGTACACTTATTTTTTGTGTTTCCGTCTTTTGGGGCGATGTTTACTGTCTATTGATGAAATGCTACCATCCGTTTCTAAAAACATTGGGGCAGGGACACAGATGGTGCATGGATGTGGGCATGGTACCCACATGGTGTTACGGTATCAGTTCTGGCGATCATCCTGGCAAAGTTCGTCACAGCCTTCAATTTCAGGGCTTTGGCTCGTCAAGATACCGTAATATGTAGAATTATATGTATAATATTTTGTTGTGTACAACTGTACAGAGCTCTACAACTGAAATTATGTACCATCTACCGTAAAAGGTTAATATCAAACGTATTGTACTGACTAGTGGGATCTAGCACAGCACACTACTGTGCTGCTTTACTGGGAGGGAGGTCTGTCACACAATTTTCTGACCGCTGAATTCACAGAAGCTGCTGCAATCAGTGAAGGGACTCGGTGTGACAGGAGGAGGAAGCTGATGGGACAGTGGAGGTTAGGATTGGGGGATGAGAAAGGAAGAGAGGGGAGGGCGGAGGGTGGAGGGAGGAGGAAACAGGGAGGAGGGAGGGAGGAAGTACTAGGGACGGGTGAGGAGGAAGGAGGGAGGAGGGAATGAGGGAAGAAGGGGGAGGAGGATGGAGGGAGGAGGGAGGGAGTTGCACATTTGCCCAAACCTGAGAGGCCGAGGGAAGATGGGCAATTGGGCAACTCTCCCTGTGATGCCGATTGTGGTGCCGGTTGAGATGTCCGAGTGATGTACAGAACCGTGATAACCGAAGCAATCATTCTCCGAAGCTGCACGATAACCGCGTCGCAAGGAATCCTTGAGAGTGGGCTGTTGTCGCGAGCTCCGCCGCCCGTTTACGCCGCGATTGGGCGGCTCTGCCTGGCTCCTGCCGCCCCGTCAACTGACTGCGAGAGGCAGACAGCTGTCGGCGCCACACGAGACGATCCTCGCCGCCCGGCGCGCATCTTGAAAGCCAGGCACGTGGGGACCACGTGCTTCAACGCTGCTGCCGCGTGCTTGGGGCTGCTGAAGTAGTTTCCACGAGGAGAGTTTTTTATTGGGCTGACCGGGTGTTCTGGAGCTTCGGGGAGAGAAATCTCCAGCTTCTTGGGTGCAGGTTTGGATAAGTTAGGCTCGGGAAAGTCAGGTTGGGGGAACTTGATGTCAGGGATTGCAACAAGGGCGGAAATAGCGGCGGGAAACGCGGCGGAGACGTCATCTGCTGTGGTGAAGCGGCGGGAGGGCGGAGGGGGAGGCGGAGCCAGCCACGTGTCAGCGAGTATTTGGTCGATCGTGGGGCGCATGAGGGGGTCCACGGCGAGCATCCAACGGATGAGATTCTTCGCGTCGTCCGAGATCGACGACCAGCAGGGCGCCTCCCAATCCGCGATATCGTCGAGCTCTCTAACGTTATTACGGAACAGAGGCCATGTTCCCGAAAGCATCGCGTACAGTAACACGCCGAGGCTCCAGATATCAGCAGATTCATCGTACGGCTCTAAAGCCATCACTTCAGGCGCTTCGTATGGGTAGCTCCCCGCGTACCCAACCACCTGCTGCCAGCGTGGCAGCTCCAGCGACAGGCCGAAATCTGTGAGTTTCGCGACGTGTTGCGGGTTACCCGCCGCGGAGGACGATTGCGAAAGGTTGTGCGAAAAAGAATCCGTCGCAGCGACTCCGGGAGCAGTTTTCTTCGGGCAGAGAAGGATGTTCTCGGGTTTGATGTCGCGATGAACTATGCTGTGATCGTGACACTCCTTAACGGCGCGAGCCACCGACGCGAAAATATCTCGTGACTCCGCTTCGCTAAGCATCCCTTCGTTCTGTATCCTCGCTAAAAGGTCCCCTCCGGTCCCGAGCTCCATGAGCATGTATAACGAATCTCGGTCCGCGTACACCGCTTCCAATCCAATTATATGTCCCGAGCCCTTTCCGCGAAGCTTCGCCATGATTTCGATCTCCCGCCGCGCCGCGGCGTGCGCGTTCTCCCCGCACGCGGCTCGCGATACGCGCTTGCATGCGAACTCGCGCGCGGTTCGGCGGTCGACGAGGCGCCAGACGACGCCGTACTGCCCCTTGCCGAGCACGTCGACTGCGGTGAAGTTCGCGCGAAGCGCGGCGGTTGGGAGGAGTTCGATGCGGTGCTGATGGTGATGGTGTGAGGATGCTGAAGTTGACCGATGCTCCATGACTGTATACTATTGGTGTGAAGATGCTATTTGTGGCAGCAAGAACTCTCCTATGAAGGACTCGCGGTCGCGGCTGAGTAGAAAGAAAACGATTAATCCGTAATTATTTTCGCTGAGCTTGGGCAGAGCAGAGTGGCTAGAGCGAAGTCAGAAGTCTTGGAATACGAGTTCAGACAACTGGAGCCACGGCGATTCACGAGTCTTATGAACCTTGCATTGGATGCTAACACTAAATATCGCTGGGTCAGGATGTGAACGACTTCAAAGTTAAAAACCAGTGGGGTACGCGATCGGCGACAAACGACGACTGGTGGAATAACTGTGACGCGATATGCGGAGGTGGAGGGGGCGCGGATTTCTGGCAATGGGGGTGAATGGAAGGTCTTTCTGGTTTGGTGCGAGTGAGAGAGCAGATGCAACAGCAGGGTGTGGAGTGCATTGCACCGCTTCGGACCACAGCGCAGCGCAGCTGTCACCCCGCGGCCGGTGGTGATGGGGGAGGTGGGTTTGCCTTGCCAGCTGCACCGCGCTGCACGCGGCGGGCAACCGCACTGGCTTGGGCTGGGCGCGCGCTTCGCTATGCTCCGCTCAAATCAACAACACGCCGCGCGCACACCGAAGTTATATCAAGTCAAAACACTTCCCTCCCCCTACGTGCCGTACCCAACCACGCTACCCTGCTTCTCTACGGTACCCACTTGTTCCGTTCCGTCAAAACAGCTGCCCAGCCCTATCCCAACCTCTTGGCGCGGCTTGGCCGAATAGTTCGTTTCGGTAGGCCCCCTTCGTTTGCTCGTCCAGTTCAGATCGTTCGTTCCTTCATTCCGCTCGGGCGTGGCTGACCCCTGCCCGTACCCGCAAACAGTTTGCATACCTGCCCCAAACCATCCCCCCATCTCCCCTCATCTCTCCTCGTGGAGAACGAAACGCCCACTTCGACATTTCAAACGGGCTGCCTGCCTCTGGCCAGTGGTATTGTTTTCCACTGGGCAGGTGGAGTGCATGCAACGGGTTGGGCTGATGGGAAAAGCTTTCGGCTGCTTTCAATTCAAGTCAGCCACTCGCTGCCCCCAGGGACATTCGGTTTGGTTGTTCAAACTCGTTGATTTGCTAACGAAATGTGGCTGCGGGGGTGGCTGTTGCCTTCCCATGATTACGAAATGGTGAGTGTCGGTGCGCAGATTCTTTTCTGTTGCATCACGCTCACGCTCCAGTCAGCACAGCACTGCAAAAACCGAAGAACGAGGTTGAACACCCCGCACGGTCAATTACGTTTTGACTGGTACAACTCAGCGACAAAAAGGGCGTGTGGACGCGTGGCACGGCAGCTGTGAAACAAACTGCTTGTCACATGGGATTAGACGGACCGTCGGGAAAACCAGACAGTTGTCGTCATCCGTCAGCCAGGGCTCGTTGGATTTGGGGACCGCCGATGCGACATGACAACTGTCGAGCTTTCAATTCATGAATTGAAGGAGCTATTCAACTCCACACTGCCAAAACCGAAAGCCACCGTCAAGTGCGGAGCATTCCTACTTCGCCCAGCCCTGTTCGGTTCAGTCTGGTCGGGTCAGGTCAGAGGTCGGATTATGCCCCGCCACAACACAACTGCAATGGTCGTACTAACTGGTATCATTTTGTAGTACTTTCTTGAACAGATTGTAATGGGAACGGCACGGCAGTTCTCTGTTACGTTGAAACTTGGAGATGTAAGGATTTACAAATCCTTACTGAGGCACTCGTTAGCGAGCCAATCCCGAGGGTCACGCGTCGAGCCTGTCTTGCCTATTTCGTCGCACCGAACCAACCCCGAATCGGCCTCCGCTCCAATCGCAACCATCACCGAGCCATCCCATCCCGAACCCCCCGCCTAGCTAGGTTTTCCCCTATTTCGGCCTCGCTACTTCATTGTGTCTCCATTCTGTAATTCTCATTCTCGATATTCTGCGTACTCTGCAAGTTCATTTCTAATGTTATGAATGAACTTGCAGAGTGCGCAGTAAAACGAATAACGAGAATGACTGATTACCGAATTGCTGAATACAATAGAAGTGACGAGGCCTAAATAGGGGAAAACCTAGCAAGGCGGGGAGGTTGGGCGAGGATGGCTCGGTGATGGATGCGATCGGTGCGGAGGCGACTCGGGGGTGGTTCGGTGCGACGAAATAGAAAGGACAGGTTCGTCGCGTGACCCTCGGGATGGCCTCGCTAACGAGTGCCTCAGTAAGGATTCTGTAAATCCTTACACATAACAAGAGGGCGCTTGGTGACCCAACTATTATTGTACGGTAGTACACTCTATTTAACAGACAATGAAGCAAATCGGCATACTAACTACAACTAAATATTTAACAAGATGTACCATGATCAGATGCCATAGTAGCTGCCTGCACACCAGTTATGGCAATCGTGGTAACCAGGTCCCTCACAGTATCGCTATTTGTCAAGTCACTGACAGGCCGCCTCAATCCCTGCAGTATAGTCCCCATCGCTACACCTCCCGATGTCCGTTGCTGCTTGTACATATCCGTGCTGCTGTGCATATCCGGGAAAATCAGCACTGTAGCTTTCCCCGCCACATCCGAGTTATCACAAATAATGGACCCGCCACTTCCTTTTTTGTCACCCACGGCGGTGTCATATGGCAGAGGCCCTTCGACTGCAAGGCCAGGCCGTTGCTCCTTCACTATATGCGCCGCCTCCTCTATTCTCTCCGTGAGACGACCTGGGAGGGGAGATGAAGGGGAGGTAGGGTGGGGGCAAGGAAGTAGGGAGGGGATGATGCAAGAAGGGTGGGATTGAGTTAAGGTCTGATGTGTGTGACATCTTTATTACATCAGGAGTAAGTAATGAAGTCAGTACAACGGACCAGGAAACACCCGCTCTTCTGTCCGTTTCTTCCCTCCCTCCCCACCATCCCACCCCCTTTCCCCTCCCCAATCCCCCCCTTCACCGTCGAGCCCCCCACACCCCTCCTGCCCCCCAACCTTCCCTCCCATGCTCCTGGTGTGTCTTTCCCTTATCCCCTCAACTCGAGCCATTATCCTTTATCCCCTCACCTTGAGCAGCACGGGCAGCTCCCTGCTGGCTTGCTTGTGTGGACAGCAGAGCGACACGTGGCTCCACGCCAAAGGCTGCCGCCGTGTCAGCCGATGACATGGCGATCATCGCAAGCTCCTCAGCCGTTGGATCGGCAGTGGCGATCCCATTGGTCGGCGCCGAAGCGCCCAGGCTCGGGGCCACAGCTGTGGAGCTGGAACCAATCAGAGGAAGGGTGTTTTCCGCGCTGTCTCCATAAACCAGCACTTTATCCGGGAGACACATGAAAACTACCCCCGAAACCACGGGCATTTCCGGGCGCGTCTTGATCACCCCCCGCACAATCCTCCCGTTCCCGTTCGGCCGAATCCCGCCGACCGCCATCCCGTCCGCCTCCCCCGCAGCAACCATCGCCGAACCAAACGACGCAGGGTCGGAAAGCAGCAGCCGCCGAGCCTCCTCCACGCTCATCGTCACCCCCCGCTCCAGCTGTGCCTGGCAAATCAACTCCACGTACCGATCCAGGTCCGGGCTAGCTCCGGGATCGAGAATATTAGCTCCGGATAAATCCACGCACTGATTTTTCGCCTGCAAAAGCACCTCCTCGGGATTCCCGAGAAGGGTCAGCTTGCAAAGCGATCTTCTCAGGACCTCCCCCGCCGCTTGCACCACCTTTGGCTCGGTCCCCTTTGCCAGGACCACGTGGGATTGAGCCTCCCGGGCCTTGGAGAAAATCCCGCACTCGAACACGCGCGGGGTGACGTGCGCGGGGTGGGCGGAGGAAGCTTCCTGGAAGAGGATGCGGTGGATGGCGGGCGTGTCGGCGTGTTCTTGGAAGAGGTCCCGGGCGCGGCGGATTTTGGCCGGGGAGGAGGCGTGGAGGGCGGAGTGGGCGCGGGCGATTGAGAGACAGATGACGTGCGGGTCGAGGGGGGAGAGGAGGACCGGGAGCGAGGCGGACAGGTTGGTTGACTGTAGGGGAGGGATAATGGGAAAGGGGGAGGGGAGGGACGGGAGGGAGGGGGGAAGGAGGAAGAGGGGTATAGGAGAAAGAAATTAGAATGAGAATTCCTAAAGGGCTCTTGGAAGAGGTCCCGGGCGCGGCGGATTTTGGCGGGGGAGGAGGCGTGGAGGGCGGAGTGGGCGCGGGCGATTGAGAGGCAGATGACGTGCGGATCGAGCGGGGAGAGGAGGACCGGGAGCGAGGCGGACAGGTTGGTTGACTGTGGAATGGGGGACAGCGGGAAGGGGGAGGGGAAGGGGTAGGGGGAAGGAGGAGGGGGAGAAGGGGAGAGGAAGGGAGGGAGGCATGGGGAAAAAGTGAGATGAGAATTTCGTTGAAGCTGGTTCGTGGGGCGAGCGGGGAGAGGGGGAGCGGGAGCAAGGCTGACAGGTTGGTTGAATGCAGGTGAGAAGTTGGGGGAGGAAGGAGGAAGGGGGGAGAGGGAGTGGAGGGTGATTGTGGGGTGGGAGGGTGTGGGGGGGATTGTGGAGGGGGAAGATTGCCAAGGAGGAAACCATGAAGGATAGGTACTGGGAGGGGGACAAGAGAATCACACAAGAAAGGGAGCGCATGCAGTAAGAGGTGGAAAATAAAACGACAAGTATTATATAGATCAAGAGAATAAAATCTTACCCTTATCATGTGGTCGATGGTGAGAGTCGGTGGCGTGCCTCCGGATAAGACAACCGCCGCCACCCGCTTGTCAGCTTTCGCCTGACTGAGCTGCATTGCCCCCAGGAGCACGTCCGTGTCGCTCGCGTGCGTTACAATGCACACTCCGCCCTCGCTACTGCCACTGTACACCCCGTTCTCGTTATAGTCACACGCGCTCGGGATTTCATCCACAAGTTCGTGAAACGGCGCCGTCGCCACGATCGTTTTAGTCACATCCATCTGTGACGCCTTGGACCCCATTCCCAGGTGGCGGCTGACGTCGTACATGCTGGGTTCTGACGTGTCATGGCTGCCGCTGACGTGGCGGGATGTAGCTGCGACAGCTGGAGTCATTGCGGGAATGCTGAAAAAGTAGCTGCTACTGCTGCTGCTGCTGCGGCTGCGGCTGCGGCTGATGTTGATGCGCCTCGTTCCCGCCACTCCAGCCGCAGCAAAGGAAGATTGCGGCCCATATAACACCTCCCCCAGAACAGCCCGTCTCAGTTCCTCTACCGAGAGTGACTGTAACGAGGAATCTTCTGGTATTATTCCGAGCACCGGGATTGGCTGATGCTGGTGATGCTCTGACGGGCGGATATACGCCTGGGAGCGCGAGTGGGCTTCGATATAGTCACGCAGGCGCGGCCCGGACCGGGAGGCTGCCCGGGAGGCGGAGGCGGGGCGGGAGGGGAAGCGGAGGGGGTGGGCGGAGCCGTGGGCGGAGCGGAGAGCGGAGCGGGGGGGGGGAGGGGGAGCGGGGGCGCATGGCCGCGGAGTGCGGGGAGCGGAGGGCGCCGCGGGGGGAGGAGGGACGTTCACCAATGGCGTTACTACGAGTGGTGGTTGTGGTACCACTGTTGCTGCTACGAGTATTGAAGCTGTCACTGGGCGCGCGGTAGATTAAGGAGCCTGCCACGTGGACGTGCGTGCTCCGTAGGATGCGCGCGTGGTCCAGCATGCTCTGCGCGGCGTCGGCTTCCCAGTCGATCTCTTCCATGGTGAAGTTTGGCTGCGCAAAGGGGGGAGGCGGGGGATAAGGGGAGGCGGAAGGGGGGAAGGGCGGAAAGAGGGGGCGTTAGGATGCGCGCGTGGTCCAGCATACTCTGCGCCGCGTCCTCCTCCCAGTCGATTTCCTCCATGGTGAAGTTCGGCTGCGCAAAGGGGGGAAAGGGGGGGCGGGAGGAGGGGGAGAGAATAAGGGGGGCTCGGGGAAACGGGGGAATCGGGGTGCATGCTCCGGCGAGTCGCCGCGTCCGCCTCCCAGTCGATCTCCTCCATGGTGAAGTTTGGCTGCGCAATTGGGGGAGGGATATGGGGAGGGAATAAGGAGAGGCGGAGGGGGAAACCGCGGGGAACGGGGGGAATTGGGTTGCATGCTCTGCGCCGCGTCCGCCTCCCAGTCGATCTCCCCCATGGTGAAGTTTGTCTGCAGGGGGGGATGCGGTGGGGGAGGGGGAAGGGTGAAGGAGAGGGGAAGAAGAAGAGGTCGGGAGGAGAGTGGGGAGGAGAGGGGATAAGAGAGGGGGGAAAGGTGGGGGGGAATGGGGAGATTTGTAAGAATGGTCAAGATTATTTGATTTGAAAAACGCGACGGGGAAGGGAAGTCGGGGACGGGGGAACGGGCGGGGGGGCGGGGGGTGGGGGGAGGTGGTAGTAGAAGTTTGAAAGTTTGAAGAGCGGAATTGGGAAAAGAAGCAGCGAGGGGAGGGGCGAGCAGGAGGGCAGGAGAAGGGGAGGAGAGCAGAGGAGGAGAAGAGAGGAAGAGAGTAGGAGCGGACATACGTGGCTGGACTCAGCAGCAACTCGCGCGTCCGTTAACAGTATCGCAGGCGCTCCTAACGCGGACGCAATCAGCCCATTAACGGGCGCCGAGATAGTCCCGTCTTTTAACGACGTCCCCTCCACCACCATAAAATCGTGCTCGCGTCGGCACCGCTCGTATGACATCAGCACGTCATCGAGTAGATCGTCCACGCGATTCGCGTGTAGCAGAGTCGTCGCGCGGTCCTGCGTAACGCCGTACATGTCGCGCGCGGGGGAGGATAGGCGGAAGATTTTCCGCATCAGCTCCGCGCGGTTTCCGCCGTGCGTGGTGCAGTCGATCGGGCGGAAATATCCAATGCCTGGGCAAAGCGGCTCGAGCGCGTGAATCAGGCCGACGGTAACCGCGGCGGCTTGCACGTTGGAACCCACGCTGCGATTGGATAGTAAACCAAAGGATAAAACATGTCAGACAAAAATTGATTGGAAGATAAGTGGGTTTTAATATTTTTTTCTTGTGAGGAAAAAGAACGACGCCGTATTTCCACCCTAAGGTATCAGAAGCTGCAACAAGTGATTGTAGCTTTGTCGTTTTTCGAGAAAATCTCGATAATAGCTGTTACTGTTGACGCGTACTTGGTGTGATGGAGGTAGACGTTGTCCGAACCTCCAATGCCACTGCTTGCAGCGGCCTTATCGGACGGCTTATTGGCGCTTTCTACGGGGATGTTGCCGCCAGACGCGGCGGTACCGGCGCTGAAGCGTCTCGCGAACGCCAGTGGCGTGAGCTGCGAGAAATCGAGATCAACAGTGGACGAATACGGGGCTTGCGTGAAATCGAACGGTGCGCCGCACGTGGCGGCGCCGGGGGCAGCAGCGGCGGCATCCGGGCGGCACTTTTTCCACACGCTGCCCCACCTCCGCGCCGCGACGCCGCCCATTCCGCCTGCAGCGGAAGCGGCGAGCGCGCTGAACGCGCGATTGGCGGCGTGGCGCTGGAATTGCTGCGCCGCATGCGCGGCAAATAAGCGCAACATGATGCTGGGCGATCGGAGGAGGCGCGGCGACGACGACGACGACGACGGGCGCAACGAATGAGACGCGGGCGACGACGAGTGAGGGAATCAGGGAGATACGTCTGTTTGTTAGGCGCTTGACAATCACGAATTGAGACGACGGGACGATGGAGACGCGACAATCGGCGGAGAACGGCGATTGCATATGACGGTTGTCGAAATTGACGCAGAGAATTTCAAATTCGCGCAGGAATGTGTCGACGATTTTCTACGGGGCCTTTTTGTGCGTTACTGCAGTCGATTATCTACAGGTGGCTTTGAGATTATACCCAGCACTGTGTATTTACGAATACGGACCGCGGGTTCTGCTCGTTCCAAAAATGCGGATGGGAGTGACAGAGGAGCAAATTGAGATCCCTAAAATGGTCTAGAAAGTTGAAGGGAAACGGGATGGGGGGGTGGGGTCGGGGGGGAGGCGGCATAAGGAAGGAGAGAAGGAACTGGCGAGAAAGACACGCCAGCATTGCAAAGTTGAAGAGCTTCTGCTCTTGGGGACAGCAGTGTTCATGCTCATCCTTCTGTTGCGGGCAGAGAAACAAGGAGCTGTGCGTGTCTACCATACACAGTACAGTCGATCGATGGACAGCTATGGCGGAATGGAGCATTTAGTTGGCTGGCATATCGGGGAAATCGAATGACGAATGACGGGCATGGTGTTTCGATATTGCTGTTGCTGAAGGCTGCTTTGGCTTGGCTTGAATGCCAGCATTACGACGACGCGCTCCGTGCGAGCAACGCGGAAGGATATTTCGGCCTGCAAAAATGGCTATTTGTCAGCAATCAGGGCATTTTGCTGGTGAATTCATTCCGAACCATAGTGACAAACATGACAAGGCGGTGATAAACACGATGAACTTATAAAACACTTTGTTAAACTTATTTGATATGAGACTGGTCAGGAGGAGTCACACCGTAGCAACTGTTTCTGTCCACGATGTTCGCGTCATAAATATAAATCGCCATGTCAGCAATTCTCAAAAGCACGTCCCTTGGAGTCAACCCAGGTCGCATGCCACGCAACAGGCTCCAGAATTCGCCCACCACTCCAAATTGTCGTAATCGCGTGCCACGGTACGGAAAGCTGCCCAGCAAGGAGGGAAGATCATGACTCCTGCTGAGCTGTTCCACGTAATGGATAAGGCCAATCAAGGCTGGTGCTTTCCGCGTGGAAATCGAGTGTCTCCAGCCCGATAGGTGGAAGAACCACTGTGTGCCACGTGATCTCCAACCCGACCGGGTGGTGCACAGTGGTTCTTCGCGTGGCAGTGGTCCTGCCACCTCTCGATTTGGGAACACAATACCGTTGTATCGAGGTACATGACACACCGTAAGGGCGTATTTCTGTCTCCGGGTCATCCAGTATTTGTATCCTCCGAAATTGTGGGATCCAATCGGAAAATTCAAAACTCGGAAAGTGGATTTTCGGATTAGCTCCCGCAAATTTCGAATGACACGAATCCCGAATGACACGGAGCCAGGAATACGCCCTAATGCTCACTCAACCACCCACTCTGAACACTCCCACTGCCACTCCATACTCCCAGTGGTCTACATTCACAGCCAACGGCCCGCTCGTTACTGGCCCACAACAAAACCAGAATATTCTTGACCTCGAATAAGTTGTTCTAGTTTTCCAGACAAAACAATCCATAGCCTTGTACGGTAAAGATACCATCCAGCACAGAGAAATAAAGAAAAAAAGAACTTCCCATAGGCCTCTGAGTTTCTCATCACACACGCATCCATACGGCATGTATGACACAATCTTATGCAGAACCGCCCTGCCTGATGCTGCTGGTCTTCATGGCAGCTGCTTGCACGCCCGTGATTGCGATGGTTGTGACTATATCTTTCACAGTGCAACCCCGGCTCAAATCGTTCACGGGTCTCCTCAGCCCCTGCAGCACCGGTCCCATGGCAACGGCTCCCGTGGACTGGACAGGGGGGGGGGGGGGGGGGGGAGAAGAAGGCAAGAGTGAGCGAGTGGGAGTGGGAATGGGAGGGAAGAAGGGGAGGGAGCACAAAATAGCAGGCAAACTACGGGCCCAGGAGCGAGGGACTCCAAAGTTTTTTCAGAAAGTGTTTTACTATAAGTTTCCGAGAAACTTGAGAAGTCTCTCGCGGAAAGTATGAGAGGTAGAATGTGAACGAGAGAATGTATACCCCACCAGCTGCTCTACCCTGCCTGCTACAACTATCTCACCTGCTGCACTGCCTTGTACGTGTTGTTGCCGGTGTTGAGATCCGGGAAGATGAGCACCGATGCCTGGAGGGGCATGGGAGGAAGTGGGGGAGGGAGAAGGGATGGAGTGGGGTAGGGAGAAGGGGAGGGAGTGCTATGAGCCGCCTCAAGAGTCGTGTTGATGCCCGCATTGAGATCAGAGAAGATGAGCTCCGATGCCTGGAGGGGCAAGGAGAAGGGAGGAAGTTGGGCAGGGGAGGGAATAAGGGCTTATGAGGCGCCTCAAGAGTCGTGTTGTTGCCCGTGTTAAGATCCGGGAAAATGAGCACCGATGCCTGGAGAGGAAAGGAGAGGGGAGGGAGTGGGGCAGGGGGAGGGGTACAGGAGTTTAAGAGGTGGGGATGGGATTACAAGAGGGAGAGATCACTCTCGTACTGCCTTGTAGGTGTTGTTGCCCGTGTTGAGATCAGGGAAGATGAGCACCGATGCCTGGTGGGGCCGGGAGGGAGTGGGGCAGAGGAGAAAGGGAGGGGGGTTAAGGAGATTAAGAGGGGGGGATGGGGGAACAGCCTCCCATGCACTGCCTTGTACGTGTTGTCGCCGGTGTTGAGATCCGGGAAAATGAGCACCGATACCTGGAGAGGAAGCGGCGGGATTGAGGCAGGGAGAGGGGTAAGGAAGATTAATAGGGGTGGATGGGGGAAAGGAGAGACAAAGAGTGAGTGGAGGGTTAAGATGAGGGCAAATGGGCACTCAGGCTGGAGGTGCAGGGGAGGTGTGAGGGAAAGGAGGGACCGGGAGGGAATGAGGGAAGGGAGAGAGAGGGAATGAGGGGATCGAAGTCCAGACATACTCGTAACTAGAAACTCCCGCAGCAAGAAACTCCTTGCACCCACCTGCCCTGCGACTTCAAACGTCTTCCCCTTGAGCTTCGTCTTGGCTGTCTTCATGTTCACCATGAGGTGAGGCCTGCACTGCGCTCCACCCCTCCGGTTCCCATATCCACCACACTACACCGCACTCCATCGCACTGCACCCACCTGTCCTGCCACTTCAGACGTCTTCCCCTTGAGCTTCGTATTGGCTGTCTCCATGTTCACAGCAGCATCGTACTGCAGCGGCCCCTCCACCATGAGCTCTGGCCTGCCCACCTCCACCGCACTCCACCCATGCGATTACCTGCCCTGCCATGAGCACTGGGTACTGCAGCGGCCCCTCCACCATGAACCACGAGGTCTGCCCTGTGCTGCGCTACACCCCTTAACTTCCCATATCCACCACACTCCACCGCACTGCACCCACCTGCCCTGCGACTTCAGACGTCCTCCCATTGAGCTTCGTCTTGGCTGTTTCCATGTTAACAGCAGCACTGGGTACTGAATGCAACGGGCCCAATATCCCTCCATTTTCCATCTCCACCGCGCTAAACCCACTCGCTCACCTGCCCTGCCACTTCAGAGGTCTTCCCCTTGAGCTTCGTCTTGGCTGTCTCCATGTTCACAGCAGCATCGTACTGCAGCGGCCCCTCCACCATGAGCTCTGGCCTGCGCTGCGCTACACCCCTGCATTACCCATTTCCACCTCACCTCACTCCACCGCACTGCACCCACCTGCCCTGCGACTTCAGAGGTCTTCCCCTTGAGCTTCGCCTTGGCTGTCTCCATGTTCACAGCAGCATCGTACTGCAGCGGCCCCTCCACCATGAGCTCTGGCCTCCACCCCTCCATCTACCGAATCCCACCCATTTCCTCACCTGCCTGGCACCCTCCCTTTCACCTTATTAACGACTCACCTGCCCTGCCACTTCACTCGTCCGTCCCTTGAGCTTCGTCTTGGCTGTCTCCATGTTCACAGCAGCGTCGTACTGCAGCGGCCCCTCCACCATGAGGTCTGGCCGGCGCTCATGCACGATGGCTGTAGCATCCGCCACCTTCTGAATCAGCGGACCTGCGAGTGAGAGGACCGGGACAGGAGAGGAGAGGAAAGGATAGCAAGGAAACCATGAATCAGGGCATCATACTGCAGTCCTCCTTCCCGCCCCTCCACCATGAGGTCTGGCCGGCGCTCATGGACTATGGCTGTTGCATCCGCGATTTGGGGGACGGTAGGGTGGTGCATCACAGTCGGTGATCAAGACACATCAACCACCCCTCGTCAAGCATCAACGGCCTCTCCACCATGAGTTCTGGCCGGCGCTCATGCACGATTGCTGTTGCGTCCGCCACCTTCTGAATCAGCGGGCCTGCAGAGGGAGGGGAGGGTAGGGTGGTGCATCACAGTCTGTGATCAGGACACGTCAACCACCCTCCACCATGAGGTCAGGTCAGGCCTCCAGCGCTCATGCACGACGGCTGTTGCACCTGACACCTTCTGAATCAGCTGGCCTTGGGGAGCGAGGAGACAGAATGGTAGAGGAGAGGAGCAGAGGGTTAGAGAAGAAGAGACGCATCAAGCAGTGAGAGCACAGAGGCTAGTTTAGGAATGAATGCTTTGATCCCCCACGGTCCCACCCACCTGTGCTGGAGTCCCCAGTCAGTGGCATACGACAGCAGAGCGACACAGCAAAGGCTGCACTCCGTGCGCCTGGTTCGCTATGATATGGCTAGGAGATAACACTTCTTATGAACCTCTCTATTCCACCATCCCACCTGTGCTGGAGTACCCAGTGGCATACGACAGCAGAGCGACACGTGGGTGGGCTCCACGCCAAAGGCTGCAGTCAGTGCACCTGGTTTGCTATGAAATGGCTACGAGCTAACTTTTTTCTAATGAACTGCTA